GCCAACCAATTTATGTCGTTCAAAGGCTGTCAGAGCACTGATGTTCTGCTTGGAGATGATGGCAAAAAGAGCTAAAAAGGTTAGAAGAGGAGAGCGCTGGGTTCAGCCTGCCATATTGTCCTCAAAATGCTCACAGGCGGTATGAGAGCTCTCACTGAATGGTGTAGCTGAAGAACTGGCATAATGCAGTAATGAGAGGTCTCTAGGCGGGAAAATGAAGCAGTTGGGGAATTCTGACAGGCAGCGCTGGGTGAGTTGGCGCAGGCTGGAGGGAAGGAGGCTGTAGCGCTGGTATCCCTTGTTGCATGGGCTGCAGCTTGCGCTGGTGCTGTAGGTGGGGAGCAGCTGCTGAACTGAGACTGAACCTGCCCGACCTGGCTTAGAGTATTTGTCCTGTTGTGTGCTGTGTGGAGGAAGAGAGTGCATCCTTCCCCCTTTTCACTGCAGATGCCATTAGGGCTGTCCCTGTCAAACATGTTCTTCTTTGGTGATGGTGTCAGAGGAGAGAGGAGTGAAAACTTCTGCTGACTCAGGCCCTGCTGTTCTACCCGGGCTTTACATGTCTGTCGCTGTAACATGGGTTTATTCTGTTGGGTTAATTCACTGTAAGGGTTTGAAGGAAAAAAGCAACCCCTGGTGCCTTGGCAATGTTCGTGGAGAGGGGGACACCCCGTGCCCACCTTTTGGTCTGAGCTGGGTGTCTGGGTTCCCTCCAGAGAGAGATGGGATGAATTTCCCTTAAAATAACCTCTGAAAAACTTCTCTGGAGGGGTTTTGGGTGGCCAGCATGGACTGGGTGGCTGAACCTGGCAACAAACCCCTGTTTAGCCAGCATGAGAGCTGTGTTTCTGCTGCACTAGATGCCGTGTGTGCAGCAGAAGGGTGGGATAAACACCAAACAATTCAGTCTGTGTTGAGCAACATATGCCATGTAATGACATACAGAGCAGGTGGTGGCTGTTGTGCCCCTAGAAATACAGTTAGAAACAGCTCTGAACAGCTTTTGTTATCAGCGGTCTCAGGCTGTAAAACAGTGAGCATTGCGGGTTTATATTTATGCTGATGGGAAGTTTGCATGTACTTAAGCTCAGTTCCTTGTTTTCCTGGTTGCATCCATGTGCAGCTGGATCCAGGGGCATAACCGCAGGCACTGTTGCGTGGCTGAGAAATGCAGATTGACTGTTACTGATGTCTGGAAATAACTGGTGCTTAGCAGTGACTGGGGAGCCCCGCTCAGGGCCTTTGTCTTTCTGGATGGGTTTTTGGTGTGTTTCTCCATTTGCAGCCTTTCCTCACTGTTACAATTGCTGTGGCTCTGCTCTGTGCTCTTGCCGGGAAAGCAGCCCCTCCCCTTGTGCTAGTCCCGTTTCTGACACCATCCTTGATCACCATTGCCAGTCCCAGTATAGAAAGCCGTGGGCTCATGATCACGGGCTCCAATTTGGAACTGCCAACACTGCCAGCTGGTTTAAGTCAAAATATTAAACTGCTTCCTGGCTGCAGTTCTACCTTGCTGTGATGTTTGTTTGTCATCTTTTTTTTGAAGGCCCTCAGACTTTACCATGTGAGTTGAGACTTCAGGGATGGAGACTGTTCTATAAAACAACAAAATTGATCTAACTGGAGTAATATTTTACTGCTTCCTGAAATACAGTTTCAGTCCTGGAACAGCGAAGGCAACTGCTCTCAGGAGAAGGAAGTGGCCATTAGTAACACGTACCCACCCCAGAGCTCCACTGTACCAATGAAGGAGCCCAACCAGGTGTCAGGTCGAGCTAGGAAGGGAACAGAGCCCATGTTGTGGTACCCTGGCATTGCTTGGCCAGAGTTTTGTGAACCTGTTGCTGCCCACAGCGCTAAGTGTTCTGCGCTGAGCCTGGTCTGTACTGGGAGATGCTTCTGCCAGCGGTCAGAGCCGGCGAGCAGCCACGGGGTTGTGCTGTGAGGGGTGAGTGTTGCTGCGGGGTGGGAGAGAACCAGCTCCAAGTGTAAGGCTTTGTGTTGCTGTCCTAGTGTGTCTGTAAAGGACCTTTCTGTCTCGTGGTAGTAGCTTTGCTGGCCTGAACTAGGACTAAGCCGACACAAGGAGTGTGAACTCACCAGAATAGTTTTGACTCTGGTTGAAGTGCTCTTCTGACCTGTGCTTGGGGGGGGGAGGAGGAGGACACTGCCACTGTATTAGAGTGAAGCAGGGTCGCCTGTAAGGGGGCTCAGGAGCAGTATTTGGACTGTGAGTAATTTGCTTTGCTAGATTTGGTTATTAAGTACAAGGAATGGAATGAACTAGTGCAGAGGAGAATGTGTGTGAGAAGGATTAAAAAAAACCCCACCTCACTGCATATTTAGTAACTGAAGAAGTTGAATTTGAGAACTGCAAGCACAGATGGCAGAAAACTCTGGGCACTTGATGTCTCTATTAACAAACATGTGCATACATCAGGCGACATTTGGAACTTGTTCCCATATGCACTAACTGCAATTAAAAAAAGGTAATCTAATTTTTTAAGAAATGCAATGTTTTATTTTTTTTGAAAATAAATAAAAATCAGAAATTTACAATACATAATTCCAGTATTATGTTAACACCACAGGGGAGGTGTGGTCTCTTCTTGGGTGTCAGACCAGGCTTGGAACATCTTGTCCCTCATACCTACTTGAGCTGGTTTTTGGGTTTTGTGTGGTGTGGTTTTTTTTTTTTTAATAGCAGCACTTCATAATGCGTTTATGAATGCAGTGTCTAGGTGTAACTGTTCTTGTGTAACAACCACTGTATGCTGTAGGTTTGCTGTGACTGAGCTCACTTTTCCAGAAAAGACAGAAACCTGAAGAACAAGTTGAGGGGTGAGTGGGGACTTTACGAGATTACACTGCAGTGTGGCACCTAAAATTTTAGGGAGAGGAGAGAGACTGTTGCTCCAGTCAGAAACACATCTCCTCTAGTATTGTCTCAAATTAAGGGCAAAGATTTTAATAACGAGAGGCTGGAAAAAGTTCCTTTTTTAGACCATGGTCTCACCCATTTCTCTTCTGTGGCTGTGTTTGAAGACACTGTACCCTCTGCAGTTCTATAAGGTAGCAATATAAGGGGGCTCAAGTGGCCAAATAAATACATTGAGGGTTTCATCAGCGCAAGGTTCTCTAGGCAGCTGGTGCTAAGACATGCAGTAGTCATAGATGTGCTCAATTGCAGGTTGAGGTTTGGGGGTCGTCCCCCCCCCCCCAGTTTCTTTTCAGCAGTGTTTAGGGGTTTTTGTTGTCTTTTGTTGTTTCCTTGAACAATTTGGAAGAGTCGACCTACAGTATCTCATCTCTAGGATAAGTATTTGTAGTAAAATAGTTGCAGTTCCCATTTCCTTTTGTACCCCTAAGTGTATCTTCTTCCACCTCTTAAATTGTCTTGCTATTTACAGATGTATGACTGGAGATGGTTGACTCTCTTTTTTTGGGGGGGGGGGTGTGGTGTCACGTCAGTTTCCCCCCCTCCACTCATGACATCTGGTGACCACAAGTGCCTAATTTCACAGGGTCCCTGTGACCTGGTGCATGTATACTTTGGCAGGCCAAACTCCAATTCTTGGGCTAACATTATTTCAGGGCACGATATGAGGAAGGTCAGGATGTGGCTGATCTGTACTGAATTATTGCTATTTCCTGCTTTTTTAGGATCCATAAGCAAAGTCTGTCTTAAATGGTGCTAGGAAAAGAGTTGGACCATATGTTTCCACTTCCTTCCTGCTGGATGAGTGAGAACTTGCTGTGTCAAAGCTGTTCAGTGCACAAGGTCATACAACAGGTGAGAGAAAGTGTGCAAGGTGACAGGTGGCACTGGTGTAAATAAAAGTTCTGCATTCACAAAAATAAGGCTTTGCTGTCCTAGAAAGTGGGAGTGTAAAGATGGCCAGGAAGAACCTACCCTTTTTCTGTTGCAAGACAGGACCAAGATAATGGGAATCTGGACCTCCAGGTGTGTTCTGCTGGAAGTTTTTTGTGTTATGTGTTAGTGAAGACAGACAGCAGCAAGTATGTGCTAGGACTAAGAGAGGCTGAGGACCGTTTGCCCTTGAAGTCATATGGCTGGGCCATTTTCCTTCAGTTAGGCTGTGGAATGAGATGTACCTGTTATGTCACCAAAGTGGGGAACCTGCTGTTAGTTACAGGTGCACGTATTTCGTGAAATGGGAAGTGACTAAAGCTTTGAGGGAAGGCATGTGCAGCACTCCTGTAAAGGGAAAGCAAACAGCAGGAGTAGCATGTAGTCTTCCCCTCAAGGTCCTAAAGAACATGGATCTTTGAGCAGTTTGGTTTTTCCAGCAGCAAGGAACAGATTCTACAGCTCACTGCTGAGCCCTCTGTTGTCATTAACTGGGATGGCAGCATGTAAAAGAAGCTCCAGAGAACTGCTTTCTGCTACCTGAATGGATAATTCAATGTGTTTTCTTATGAGCTGTACTCAGCTTTTTGCATAAGGGAATCTTATGGGCAATTTAACCGGCTGGCTCTTTATTTGAGCAACAAAATTATTTTCAAACAATTTATAAATTTTGTTAACTGTTGTTACCCTAAGCCCATTATATGGAACTAATTTAGCTTCATGAGAAAAAGTTTCAGTGAAGCTCTAAAAATGTCAGATTGTTGTAGACAAGAACTCCACTTTTTGTGGTAGCTGGAACACATGATGAGGCTCTTTGACTCCTCATAGTCTGCCTTACAGTTGCCCAAGGAGCCTGCTCAAGCCTGGCAGGGTCTTCAGGAGATATGGATCCAGATCTGAGAACTTGGCTGCAGGCCTGTGAGAGTTGAAGTTAGAATCAGCCCCTGGGAATAAGGGGAGGTTAGAAAGAAGGAAAGAAAGAAGAAAAGCTACAATGCTGGTAACACACATTTGCACAGAAGGAAATGCTGGTTTATGTTGTATGGATACCAATGTACTGAAAACTGTCCTTGTCTGACTGGGGCAGGGGGCCCAATTAAAAAGCCAACACTAGTTGTGCAAGAAAGTGGTATGAGGTTCTATCAAACTGACCTTTCCTCCTATAACCAGAGGCTGTGTCTACATTAGCAGGTAGTGTTGCCAGAAGGAATGGCGCTTTAGAAGACAACAGTTTTTGCTGAGCACCTGCACCCACACTTACAGGTATTTCAGGAAGCTTTATTCTGGGCTAGCTCTCAGTTGGTAGAAGCATATTAGGTGGGCTACTGGAGAGTGTCTCTCAGTTAACTTTTGTTCAAAGGGATCTAGCTCTGAGACCACACTGATGTGAAGAGATGTGTGTGATGAATGATGAGGGAACTTACTCTCAAAACTGAAGTCTAAATCCAGGCTAAAATATTAATGTAGATGCTGCTGTCAATGCCAACAACCAGCTTGTCTTCAGGCACAGGCCCTTTCATGCTGCTTAAATACCTTAGTGCTAAGGCTTGGAAGACAAAGAGCGCGAAGTGCTCTCTGAAGGGTGATCTCTTCAGACTACTTCCAGTATCTAGCATAATGAAGTAGTAAATTCCTGAAGGATTTCAGGAGTTCCCCAGAGCGGAAAGGGAGAGTAGTCTGTCAAGGTAGTCTTTAACTTCACTATATATCTCCATAAATCTTCTTGAAGTGGAACAGTAAGGCAAGCATCTCTCAGAATATGCTTTCTTCGATCTCGACATCTGTTTCAGCTCCTGGGGGCTCAGGCACAGCTATTGTGAGCCTTGACACCTCTACCACTGGGATCTTCTCTTTCAGTTGTTCTGTAGACCCTTGTTCTCCCTCAGGAACACTCTGAACTGCTTCCTTCTGCATCTCAGGCTCTCCAGGAAAGCCTGGTTTCGCGTAGTTCTTCACCATCTCCTGCACCTCCATATTCAGAGTTTTCAATTTCTCCTCATACTCTGCCAGTGCCTCCTGCTGGAGCTGCAAACAGACACCTCAAATCATTCTCCAAACACTGAAGCTAAGCAGACGTCAGGCTGAGAATGGTATAAAAACCTTCTCTAAAAGAGACCAATATGATGAGATGTTAGTACTTCACGATTTTGGTCTCAACCCTATATTGAATGACTTGTCTCCATCCCCCAGGCAATCTTTGGCTTCCCTGAAGATGAAAGCAGGGAGGATTGCTGATGCATGTTATTCTAATTTGCACCACAGTTTGATGAATTAAGACTGCGTGTTCACTGCATGTGAACCTTGAAAGAACATGAATGCGTTTTGTGTTTTGAGAGTTTCAGGAGCTTGGGGATGAGACTCATCTCTTCTAAAGATGCATTTCCATCACACTTTAAAATTTAGGGTGTTTCTGTATGGTTAGATGAATGCTAGTGCTGGCACAGGGAGTGCAGCACCTCTGATTTAGAAGGTGGTTCTACAGGAGCCTACACAGATCTAAGTCAGTCATTCATTTTCTCAGCATACTGAGGAGTGGGTGTCTGAAGTGTGTGTGTGTAGGATGAGTGTAGCATTAATTAAAGAATGTGCAAGGAAGACTGATCCCCTGCAGTGTTTTGGATTTACTGTACTAAGTAACAGCACTGACCCTGAGCTTCATCTTTTCCTTTACCTGACTTTCTTTCTCCTTGATTGTTCTCAGATTGTCTGCCTGCTTCTCTTCCAGTTTCTGCTGATACATGGCTGTCTTTTGTGTCACCTTTAAAAAGAACAAATTAAAAAACCACTTGTATTTAAGCTTTCATCAACAAATGCTTTAGCATAACAGCAAGATACAGGGTTATAGAGCACATGCCACAATATCCCCCTCATTCCCAACTCTGAACAATTTCTGCTGGCTCTGAGTTATCTGTGTAGTACTTGCAAAAGCATGCATGTGTGTGGCACATGCACACAGACGGTCTGCTCTGTAAGGGCATGGGTCTCTGAAGGGCAAAGATGAGATCCTTAGGGTCTCCTCCCCTTCTGCAAAATTTTGCACATTATTAAATAGACGTGGGGTTACGCTGCTGATTAGTTGTGCTTCAAAAATATCCCTGAATTGGAAATGTAAAATATCCTAGACAGCGCTGTTTGCACTGCATCTCTGACCAGGTGGGAGGACTCATTAGATCCTTATGGACCTCCAGTATTTTAGTAAGGGTAGTGGCTGTCTTCAGCTGCAATTTGGCTGTCTGAATTACACACTCAGAGTCCTCGATACAGTAGCAATTTAACATGATTTAAATGCCTCCGAGAACTCGCACTGTGAGCCACGCTGATGATATACATGAGACACCCCCACTTCGCAGAAAACAGAGATGCTGTGACAGACTGCCACAGGAGAACTTACCAGTTTGATTGTTTGCACCACTTCCTGAATGTGAGAGTTATTAATTTCTTTCTTCAACCTTTAAAGAAAGGAAATGTATAAAACCCTATAATCCATCTGTTACCTTTATATAAAACCTGTTTATCAATACTGATAAAGTGCCATACAGTAAGATAGGACTGCTAGTTCCCACACAGAAAGACAGGTGTGTTATATTCTCACAGTGTCCTCCCACATTCAGAGCTTGCTGTAATTTTAGGAAAGGCAAATAAAACACCATTCAAATTTGCCTGAGACATAAGCCAAATAATTGGATTAAAATTCTGTTTTTTTCAGCTTAACAGACAGCAAAAGGACCTTGCTATGACCCGGAAGCAAAGGAGGTGTAGTGTACCCTCTTCTGTACCCTTGAACACATGAAGCTGTTACGACTGATTCATATCATGCAGTACTTGACTACACAGACTTGGTAGCAGAGTATTATTTTTATAACAGCAAATGGGAAGGAAGGCTGCAGCCATTATATGCCTAAACACAACCTCTTAACTGAGATGGTTGTTGAAACTGATTACAAACAGATTCTAGAGAGGCTGGGGAAGACCTGTCTTTGATTCTAAGGGGAGACAAATACCCACCAAGGCATGGGGGTAGGCAGGAGGTATTTGGAAGTGCTCTTAGGCTTCAGCTGAAGTGACTGGCAGGTGCATCATCACATCAGCAAGAAGCTTACATGTCACATAAGAGAGCCAAAGAGATGGGTGCATAGGAGGCTTGTCTTCAAGGTACAATTTCTCCATCTGTAATGACCTCCCCCTGCATTTCCATATGAGCTCCTACTCCCTGTGGCAGGGCAGGAAGTGTTTCTAAGGCACTGCTCCTCTCAGGCTATTCAGAAGTCCAGTAAGTGAAACCAATCTTGTGGACTCCCTTACACAAAAAAATTTAGCCCATGGAGAAAGCTCCGGAAGCCACTGTCAACAGTGGCTGCAGAAATTACATTATTGCTACAGCTAGGGAGCAGATGTTTGGCTTTGCTATGTATATGCCTGTGTACTGGAATGCAAGGGAGAAAAAGCGCTAAGCCAGGAGTGAGGGCAAGCCAGCCCACCTTCCCTGACCCCTACAGCTCTGCCACCACCTGTTTGGCTGCTTTAAAAAGTTTCCCTGTTGGTGACAGAGACTGTGGTGTAGCACTGTTCCCTGCCTGGAGCAGGACAGCTAGTGTTCTGCATAGACAAAGCCCAGTAACATCTAACCCAGTACCTCTCCTGAGCCACCTTGTCACTTGTATTCCTCATCATGGTTTGGATTCGGTCCACTCTCTTTGCCTCCAGCTTCTTCTTAATGTCTTTAATGTTGCTGCAGAGAGAAGAGAGTGCTGTGAGAGACAGGACTGGTTACAAACCCCAGAGAGTGAAGCAGCCCTCCACATTTGTTCTCTGGAGTGCTCTACTGGCCAGAAAAGCAAAGTTTGAGTGATTGTGCAGCAGAAAGCCGTAAGTCTTAAGAATATTTTAAGTCCTGTAACTTCTTCTTTTTTTTAAAGGGAGTCATAACAAAGGGAAAAGAGAAAACACTTTATATAATTAGGTTGTATTGTATACCTACACTGGGGTCCTCTGGAGCAGCAGCAAACTTGCTGAAAGTACTTAAACTGCTAAATTTAAAAAAAGGAAAAAAACCCCACCTACATGTCTGTAGAGCAGAGCTAAAAAGACGACCTGAAGCAAGCAGAAAGGCACTTAAACTATGTCATGTGACTTGCAAAGCAGAAACCCTAAACACTTAAAAGGCATTTGATCAACTAGTAGGAAAGATGAAAAGAACAAAATCCAGAAAACCTAGGATCTGTGCCCCTGACTGAGGCATGTGTGGCCACCAGAAATGCTAACTGCAGGCCAGAGAATGTGACAAGACAGACAGAGGAAGGTGCATCATCAGGGCATAAGAGGCTGCTGACACACCACCAGTACCTCATCTTGGCCGCCCATGTACAAAATGATTACAACAGGACAGCTGCTAAGGGGGATGTAAAAATGGCCATCAGAGTGTGGTGTCCTGCGTCCAACAGTGGAAGGAGCGTGTGCTTAAGAGAAGTGTAAGAAAAAGAACAAGTATAGGGTAATTTTTCCTTCCTCCATCTTCCCAGTCTCCTGTCTATCCTCCAGCTTCTATGCATTTATCTCCCATGAATGTCTCTCATACCTTGGAGTTTAGCTCTACTTTTGGACTTCATAGCTCCTTGCCCTGAGAGGAAAAAAACTTAATTTATATGCTGTGTGACAGCAGTACTCCCTGAGAACTTCACTGGGTGCGCCACATTTCTTGTCTTATGAGAAACAGTGAGTAATCACTTCTCTATTCTTCTTCTCCATACCATTCATGATTTTACACACTTCTGTCACATCCCCCTCAATCATCTGTTCTCCAAGCTGAGTCCTATTTAATTTCTTTTTGTGCAGAAATTAATCCTCACTGCTGACTATCCTTCCTCTTTCAAAGCTTTTTTTTCAAGATGGCATACTGAAAAGGTGACTGCATTATGGAGATAGATCTAGTGGCATAATGCTGACTTTGAATCTTCCTCTTTCCATACAGTTCCAAAAATTCTATTTGCCACTTTGGCCACTGCAGAGCTGTGAATGATGAGCTGTTTGAGAGAAGTACCCACAGCAGCTGAAGATCTCTTTCCTGAGTGACAATAGCTCACAGCTGAGCTATGGTTAGTTTTTTTCCATTCACATTATTTTGTATTTATTCATACTGAATTTAAATGCCATTTTATTGTCTGTTGCTTAAGATCTTTAAATCTTTCTGGAACTCCTCATAGCCAGCTGTAGATGTGACTGTACTAAATGACATTGTATTGTTAACAAACCATTATTTAGCTACTCGATCTGTTTTTCTTAGTCTTATCTGAATATGCTGAATAGCTGAGAGAAACAGAAGATCTGTCTTGATGAAGGACATGAAAAGAGGAAGTTTTGACTGAATTAGCAACTAAAGGCTGAGAGAGGATTTAATGGGAAGGAGGAATGAGTGAGGATTTTAGCTTCAGGACAATGTTATTGCAAGAACAAATGGATAAATGCCTGGCTAGAAATCAGTGAATTGATTCTGCCAGTTTATTTAAGTACTGGAGCCAAGATGCTCAATTCACTTAGGAGACTGAGCTGATCAGTCCCTGGAAGGGATTGTATGTGATGGACTGACTACAGCAGATAGAGATGACATCCAGTGGCCAGCAGTCTTATTTCCTGTATTTCTGAATTAGGCAGTCAAGGCTACTTACTGCAGCTTGAACACTAGTACCCTCTTTGGTGCCTCGTGGTAGGAACGCTGTTCTGGAGATCACAAGACAAGAGCTGTCTTCCCACCACTGCCACTGTGTAACTGTGTGAGACCCCATGTCACATCGCTGTACCTCAGTTTCTCACCAAAGTAAAAGAAATGCTTCTCTTCCCCTGTATTCACTCACTGTCTGTAGTACAGTGCTTTGAGATCTAGCAGAAAATGCTACCCCAGATAAGAGCTATGCATTATTACTTTGTTATTCAAATACTAAGTTTACCTTTCTGATGACTCCTTCAGTGCCTTCAGCTCAGCTGTCTGCTTCTCTCTGGCTAGCTCTATTATCTTGGTAACTTGCTGTTCAAGGGATGAAAACAGGATCAAAACCAAACAAACCAAGATGAGACACAGCACACCATCGGTATCTAATTACCATCAGATTCAGCTTTATCCCTCCCTGCACTGAATTCCAGGGGCCAGCTAATCCCTGAGGCTCTGTGCAAACCAGTGCACCACAACAGCGAGTTCAGATGTGTACACAGATTCAGTAGCACACAGGCTACTCTGTGAGCCATATCACACACCTCCAGGTTATCGTTACAGACAGCTTCCTATCCCTCAGTGCAGGAGGCAGCACCAGATTCACTGTACTAGTGGGTAGGTGGGAAACAGCAGCAGAGCTTACCTTCTAAACAACAGAGGCTAGCAGCAAGGGGATGGGCCTTAAATCTTGTGGAAACAAAGTTCTGTGGAAACTCCTGGCAGATAAGTCTCAGTGCAGTCAGACCTGCCTGCACTGCTGTCTGCTGAGAGACAGCCTGAGAGGAAAAACCCTGACTGCTGGGCTACGTGCTGTGCAGTGGGAACTCAGTTTTTTATTTCCTTTTCATAGCCGTGCTTGCTAAATCACAGTCTTTGACAGTTGTGAGACAAGAATGTTTTAATTCCTTTGGCTTCTCTCTCTGGTGATAAGCATGATTTCCAGGTAAGCTAGTTCTCAAGAGGCAGGTTTTTTATTCCCTCAGGGTTGGTATAGGCTAGACCAGCCAGTCTTCTAGACAGCTTGCAAGGTGCCTGTCAAGCCAAAGTGCACCAGGGAACCTAAGATTTAAGACATACGATGCAAACTCCTTTGGAAAATAATGATAGGAAAAGGCCTCCAAATCCTGGAATCATCCCTCTTTCATTGGAACAGATGGTGTATGCTGTATGCCATATGCCATATTTATCATCACCAGCTCGTGGACTGCACCTTGTCTCCAGGCATTACTGTGTCTCTTGCTGGTGTTTGCTTAAGGTTGGGTGTCTGAGGGTGTGGGAAGCACTGATGCACTTGCAGGGCTCACTGGTGACACCATACCTGCACACTTACTTTGACTTCTACTAAGTCAAACAGCAAAACACTTTCCAGATTTCAAGAGGAATGAGATCCAGCCCTGCCATCACCGGTAAGGGGTGGTCCTATGAGTACTGTCCCTCACAAGGCTTTCATTTTATTAGCACAGATGTGGCAATGGCAAGCACTGAATGTATTGGTGGGGCTCCTCTGTTCCCACACATCAGCCGTCCTGGTTGAATGACAGCAGTGAGTGTGTGATTGCCCCTACAGCATGTCTGTAATGCTCTTGTGGTTGCCACTGGTGAACCTGCAGGGCTTTAGCATACCTGTGTGTCACCCTAGCTCTGACAGTACAGCATCAAGCAGGGAGCCTTGGGAAGCATGGTACAGCCTCATGTACCCATGCCCCTAGAGAGCTGGCACCTGGCAGTGTATGAAGCCAGTAAATGCCACGTTAACCCCAAGCTAAGCTATCAGAAGAGTTTAAGCAGATGGAGCCTGATGTGCTCCAGGGCAGTGCTTCTCAATATTGCAGACCTATAAAAATGTTTCTGCTGGATTTTTATAGCTTCTAACAAATAAGCTTCACTGTCTACATTCTCAATTATCTTGCATGGACCTGACAATTGCTCTGAGGGGTGTTTTCTGCTCTGCGGCCACATTTCCAAGTTCACAGTTTAGTGAAGAACTTGGTTTTTCAGGCTGTCCTTGCAGGGGCAATCCTAGGCTACATTTTCTGTTGACACTTGCAGTCCTTACCTCTGTTGCATGCTGTTCTTTCTTTCTTCGAATCCCATCATGGTGTTCCTCTCCCAGGTGGATGAGGTCCATCTCCAGCCTCTCTCTCAGTTCCAAAATTCGGCTATCGATGCTTTCAGCCATTTCTACAGGATTTGCACATGTACCAACATCACCTGTTGTCAAACTCCTGCAGAACAGATACAGCAGCTGTGCTGCTTCTAGAGATGCCGATGATACAATTCTGACCTTCCTACCCCTCAGTGGGAACACCTGACACTCTATAAACCCAGGGAGATGTGGATGCCTGCAGCACGCAATGCTTCCTTCAGAAAAGGGGAGTCCGTGGGGAGGTGACCCACAGGCCAGGCCCTGCTGGAGACCCTGTGCTGTATTTACCTCTTCTTCTGTGTCTTCCTAGTGTGTATCATCCTTTTCTTGCATCCATAGCAGACAGGGTCTGAAAAGAGTACAGAATATTTCTGCAGCAGCTCCTCCCTCCGTTTACTTCCTTTCCGCTCCAACTCCCTCAGTTCCTTCTCCTGTTTCTTCAGCAGCTTCAGAAACAGCTTCATCTGCTGCAGTTCTACGAGGCTGGCTGTTTGAGGCTCTAAAATACAAAATAGAGGCTTTTCTCAACCTGCTGTGATGCCTTTTGGGGCCAGACAGCTTTTTTTCAGCACTGCCTTCATTCAGTCTTTCCTCCCTCAGCCTTTCCTCCCTCTTTTCAGCATTACATACAGCACAGTTCACCATCTGGTGGATGCATGGCATGGGGATGGCCAGAAGAAGTGCTGCCCTTTGGTATTTTGGCCAGAGGAACACACTGGTGGTGATGTGCCAGTCTGTCTTATGCCTTGCACCCTCTTCCACAATTCTAAGTATCCAAAAGACAGCACAATTGTTAAGCTAGTCACCAGCTCTAATTATAACGGAAAAGCTTTGTTACTTCATTACTGAATTTTGCAAAACTGAGTTACAATGACAGGTGCTTTCATCCCTTCCAGTTTTAATGCCTGGCATTTCTTCAGCTGTGAGGAATAAATGAAAGGGCTTTTAAGGGAGATGAAAATGAGAGGGGAAGGATGCCTGTGAACTGTTGGAGAACTTGTTATCTGGCAGCAGCAAGTCAGTTAGATGTGGTTATCTGTGGCAGAAAGGCCACAGGGAGTTATCTTCTCAGGGGAAGTAACTTTTTTTTTTTTGGCTTGGAATGTGTAAAAATTAACAGAACTTCTGGGTGTGTCTGCAACACAGTGCTGTGCTGTGCAGGGTCAGCTCCTTCCAAAAGGCTCGTATTGAGGAAACTGAAGCGTACAGCTTAAACCAAGTCTCTCTGTCAACACATCCAGACTCCGAAACCAGAGCCCACTATGCTTCATACTATGTGATGCCTTTTACCAGAGTACATATTTAAAGTAATCATAGCTCTGTCCTGGGGAACATTTTTCTTTAGGAATAACTTTTAAAAACAAAACTTAATGTACATAACAGTTACTTGGCAACATATCCTGAGTGCAATAGGTTTACACTTGTGCCTTCAGTTCAGTTTTGTGGCATAATTAGACACACTGGTTACTAGTGTTTTGTGTTGATTTGTTATCACACTGCATTAAGACACAGAAAAGCAGGTGAACAATACATTATTACAGAGGGTGCAAGTGTGCTGGAGTCTCCCTGTGGCCACATTACCTCTGGTTTAGTCAGGGTAAAGGAACCATCAAATTTGGCCAGAGCAGAACTCGGGTGACAGCTCCAGGCTCCTACCTTGCTATAAAGCTGACTTGCTGCAGTGTTCCTGCAGCCAGTGGCCTCAGAGGGCTAAAGCTGGAGCAGTCCAAAGCTCCCCTGACCTATCTGCAGGTGACAGTGGCCCAGCTTGTCTTGAGACCTGCTGTGAGTTCAATTGCAGCCTGAGAGCTTGCCACACAACATGGCAGTTGCCAAAATGGGCAAATGGTGCCACACAGGCAGGGAAGTGGGTCCCTGAGCCCAAAAATTCATATGGTTTGTCTTCAGTCCTGGCTACAACAGGCAGGGTTGGGCCAGGTCTTTTTTAGTTTGCATAACAGGCTTCATCTCTATCCCAGTCAGAAATTGGGCAGAGGGAATGTAAGATGACTGACAGGGCCTCAGCCCATGTGAAAACACAAGAGGAGTTACCTGCAATCTGCATCACTTCTATCACATTTTCGTCCTTGGCAAATGCCGCTGCTCCTGAAATCACAAAAAAGGTTCCTGTTTATGTTCTATCTTGGATCTTCAGGTTGAAAAAGGACAGTGGAGAGCTCCTCAAGAACATGGGCCACATGAAGGTTGTTGGTGTGAATACAAAGGAATTAATTAAGCTGCTGAGACACTTAAGTGCTTGGGAACTTTGTTAGCAGGCACATCAGAATGGGAACAGAATTCTCTGCCTTGCCAGAGAGAAAGGGCATTTGCTTTTTATTAGCTGAATATTGCTAGTAATGATTTGGCACATGTAAACTTGTTTTGATTAGGTGAGAAGGATATTCTGGTCTGAAATTTGAGAAAACTGATTGTTTTGATACAAGCATATTTGAAAGGACCCTAATCACATTGATACAGCAAATATCAAAGAAATACTGATTAGCTGTCAATTACTATAAAACACAATAGAAGAGAATGAGGTAATCTAAGTGTACAGTAGGGGACATGCTCTCACCTAACCTGAAATTGCTGTATCAATTAGTATATATTAGAAGCATGTTTGAGGAACATTCCTTCTGGCACTTTCACCAATACTACACCTTTAACGTTTGTTGGCTACCTTGTAGGTGCCAGTATGCAAGGAACAAACAAGCTGTTAGGAAGATCTTTCTCTGCTAGAGCTTCTTTAAACTTAGTAATAAATGCTGACTTTGTCTTTTGATTTCTATTAAAGCAAATCCATAACTTTTTTCAACTTATCCGACTGGTCAGAGTTAAGTAGTTTTTGCCCTTGCTATGTTAATGGGTCCCCATTTAATCTAATGGTCAAAAAACAGGACTGTGCTCTTATTCCCACTCTTGAAGAATGCCAGATATGGGATCTGTTCACTCTGAACTTGTAATGGATCTTCCAAAAAGTTTGGTGCTCATCTGAGCTCATGAATAAAATTACTAATCTTTAAAGCTCCCAAGTATTATACAACTAGACTCTGGTGCAGGCACAGTCCAACAACATAGAGTTTTCAGGGGGATCTAAACATACTTAAAGTGTCAGAAATCAACAGTAATCTACAGAAAGAGACCCTTGAAAAGAACAACAAAGAGGTGAAGAGCAGGAAGGTATTATGGGACAAAGCCAAGCCAGATCTTAAAACCTTTGTCTCAGAAATATCCAGAATTATCACATTTTTGCTCAAAATCAATATCCAACCTCCAATTTCACACTTAAGATGAGAGGCTACATCTCTGCCAGAGGCCCCGCTTCTTCCTTGGACAGTGGTTCCCTCTTAATGTAGTTATCTCCCAGGGAATTCTGTGCTGAAGCTGGAAAACTGAGGTCCTCTATTAGAATCCTCAGCATATCTACAAGATAGCACAGGAAACAGCAGTACTACCCCAATACGTTACCCCTGCCTTGGAGGGGAAAGACTATATTCATGCCAGTTGGGCCTTCAGCTTGTTTCCTGGTATTCTCAGTAGATACCTGAGATTATTTTTCTGTTGTGGAGTAAAAGCAGTATGCATGTCACACACACTCCAGCCCAAGAGTCAGGGGATAACTACAACTTTTGCCATTAATGACAAACACCAGAATTTAAGGTGGTGACTTGGCCTGAGAGGTTCTGACCCCCTTACCAAGGATCTTCACCCTCCAGTGCTGTCTCTTCCCAGCCTTTTGAGTGTACAGGCTTTCCCTTCTACTTTTAGCTCACCCCACAGCTTTACCTGCAGGCCCATTAGAAAGAGGAGTGCTGAATTTCCCAGTGGAGTCTGGTATCCCATTAGTTTCAGCAGATGGGAAGTTCCTCTGTGTGCCAAGCCTCTAAAACAAAGATCAGAAGTAAATCAAAGCTCAATTATTTCAGGCTGAATCCATGCAACATGTTTTAGAGACAATGACAGAACTTGGAAAAACTTACCTCCACTGAGCCATCTTTTAGCTGAACTGATCTTTTGTCTTGCAGACTGAAGAACTTAATGGGGTTGGAGAGAGCAATAGTCAGATCTAGAAACAAAGAGGAGATCTTTGCTTGGATTATCAAATAACTCATTGTACTCTGATTTTCCTTGCCTTCTGGTTTCCTTTCTGGCCTAGGACAGGAAATTGTGGAGAAGGGGTATTTTATACTCTCTACTTGTAACAAGCTTCTCCCTGACAGCACAAGGGGAGGGGACCCTCTTCACCTCAGTCCCATTCTGAGGCAATGGCTCACCATTGATGTTTAGGGCAGCTCTATGAAGCTGAAAAGAGCATACCGCTCCCAAAATCCAAATCCAGGTTAAGACTTTCCAAACTTGCACAGCTCCCTGCTCCAATTCAAGTCCAATGCTGTATAAACCTGGTCTTTTTTACAAATATGTGTTAAAACCATCAATTTCACAGGATTTACCCCATGAATAAGGTTCATTTGTATGAACACAGGGGAAAAGACAGTAAACATGAGAAGTATTCACAAGAACTTCTGTGGCTGATGCTGTTACATTCTGCATGGTTTTGTTGATGATTGTTAAAAAGTTTTGCTGTTACTACCTCCAGTGGGGTTTCTTTCCTGATTCATCTCTCGCTGTTCCACCATCCCCTTTTTAAAGGAAGATCACTGTATCTCAGTACCAGCAAGAACCTCCCTCTCTTCAAACAGGGGAGAACACTCCTGTGCTCCCTAAAACCCTATTCTTGTCAGTCCCTGACAGTTACCACCTCTGCACTCTAGGAAACCTCTCCCTGCCACTGAATAAAGGTAGTAAAGAGACCAACCCATTCCAAACAAAAGAGACAGTTCTCGGCCCATACTGGGAACCAGTCACAGTGCAAGCATCCACTCTCTTCTGATGAAAGCAAGGGCGTGGCAGGATGCTGGCATGCACTCAGGTCCCACCCTGACAAGGAATTAAGGGTGCAGCAGGAAAGCACCAGGCTGGAAAATGCTTCTGGATCACAGTCTGGACAAAGCCAGAGCACCCCCCCACGCCCCCCTCCCCGCGCATTCTAACAGATACTTTACCTGCCCAAGCATCAGGAACATAGTCCTTTATTTCCAGGTACACAAATAGAGAAGGCATGGTGAGTGGCATGTTACTTTCACTGCGGAGACAAACATGGTGATAGCCTGAAAACAGAAAGCAGAAGAGGTAAGCTGACAGACTCTCTGTCCCTTCTTGTCTGTGTGCTCCAACAGCAAAATAAAGTCTCTCTTTACAGAAGGGCATGGTGAATATATTATGGAATTAAGCCAAGGCTATAATAGGATGAATTTGAAGGCTCCACTGCCTACAGGAATGGATATTAAGTAGCAAAACACACAGATGTTCATATCTCCTTTACAGCTTCCAATGGATAGGTCTCAAGGGCACAAAAGCTGAAGGAATTTCCACAAAATTTACCTGAGTGCACTGCAATAACAGGAATGACACGATGACCAATGAACTTCCCTCCTTCCTCCCAAGCCGCAATTTTGAGAGACGCCAACTCGGGCATCATGATCTAAGGAAAAAACAGAGTAAGGCACCAATGTCCTCACCTCTAAATCCTGACAGCATACTAGCTTCACTAGTAGAACTTTACTGTCTCCTCCTTCCAACAAAACAATGCTATCTCTCCAAGGAAGTCACTGCCTATTTCTGCATCTTGTAATTTAAGGCTACAGTTTATCATGGACATAACTGAATTCACAGAAACTCCACAAAACACAGGCTTTTCAGAGGAGGGACTGCAGAGGATCACACGAGGGCAGCTTACCTAAAGAAAAAATGGGGCAACAAACCCTCCAAACCACAGCTTCCATGAAGCAATTCACCAGAGAAGGGAATGAACTTGGAAGGGTAATTTAGCAAGCATGCTAACTTTGCCATAAGGGCTCTTGCCTCCCTCTTCCCACATTTTTTTCTGCCATAAAATGAACTAAAAATTATTCTGCCAGAACTGAAGCCTAAAAAGTGCTTTCTGAAATGAGGATAATATTTATCTACCGCATCCCAAGTAGGCTGAAAATATCTGCTATTTCACAGTGTGCTTGACAGAGATGAATTGTGTAACATGTCTTTTGCCTTTGTAACTTACTGCAGAAAGGCCAAACATTACTATCACCTTTGACTTAACCTCCCTGTACCCTGTAGCTGGATTAGTGACCACTGAATTCTTGTGAACAAACAGGGCAGCTTTCCGTATTCTGGCACAACTGAAAGCCTCCAACTGGTCCCTTTACTTCTCCAGTTTGTCTGTTTCTCATTTACAGTTTAACCACAGACATTCAGTTCCTTTCTGCTTCCTGGTGCTTGAAGTTTTCAAAGCTGATTAGTCAATTCAGTCTGAAGTGCATCACAAATGGAAGACTTTTGATGCCTGTTATTTCCAGAAATGTTCCCAGCTACCCCTTTTCTGTTCAGGGAAATACTGATGGAGAGTTATTTTGGATACTGTTGTTTGGATATTATCTGAGCGCGCAACACGTAACACCTTGTGTGTCTAAAGCTGTGACTGAGATCTCCAGAAGGGAGTCACTTCTGTTGTCACTGACCTCTCAAGAGGCAGTGCTTGGGGCCAACAGGATCTTTAAGGAGCTCTGTCTAAATTACTATCAAATGTTATTACCTTTTCAAAAACAAAAGCCTCCTCTTTCCACACAGGGTTAATGGAATTAGCAGTGGAGGTCAGTTTGGTTCTGTATTTGCGTTTTGTGTCCCTTGGCAACCCAAACAGCTCTACTTCCACATATGTCTTCACACTGCGGTCTGAGAGGAACTGACCAGAGAGTATCTATGAACAAGCAGAAAATGTAATTAGCAACTGCTGAAAAGAATAAAACAGAAGAATCCACCCATACCTTCACCCCAAGTCACTCGCCTGCCCCAAAACATCTTTTCTGCTGCAGCTTCCAATCCACCATAGGCTTTTCTTTTACCTCCACCCATGTTTCTTGCTTCAGCACTTCTCCAAACTCCTCCCTCCCCATCATCACAGCCTTGGCTTCTTCTGTGTGGCAGATGCTAATTTTCCATTTTCATGCCATTATGATTAATTTAAAATAGTGAAAAGACTGGGAGTTGCCATGGTGACACTCTCCCACAGGACTCTCTGGGTTCACTTGCCACTAAGAACTCTACTGGGTAATAAATAGCATGGACGTGGATGCCAGTCATATATGTGGTGCCAGGAACTGGCTGTCAGGGGAGGAACAGCACCATGGTTTGTACTTGCCGTGACAGACAGGGTACTTGCCACCACCACATCCATGCGGTCCACAGAGAAGGGGTCAAACTGCTTGTCTGGACGCCGCATGAATTCATGCTTGAGCAGATAGCCACACTGGCCATTGAACTCAAACAGAGCCATGTTCTGCTGCATAGGGACATCTGAGATACAGAGGAACACAGTGAGAAAAATTTCTGTTGGGCCTCATCAGGTGGCTTGCATGCTATGAGTGAGCTGAAAGATGCTGTACTTTTACAGCCCCTGTTAGCCAAAGGCTCACAAAGCCATTTCAGAAACTAATCAAGCCTCTCAGCACCCTACAGGGAAAAATATTACAGCAGCTGTTGTAAGAAAGGTAAGTAGTTTGCTTACGATTGCACCGTAAGTCACGGGTAGAACTAAATTAAAACCTACTTTAAGAAGTACCCGCTATTTCTGGGTGTGAAATAGTTGTCTGAACCCCTCTACTCCTTCCCCCTTTCATTTTGCGCCTCCTCTCAAGTCCATCTTCTCCTCTGCCTGTTCTCTTGAGAACACTGCTTGTGGTCCTTGCAACTGTCTTCAATGAGATATCCTCTTCATAACCAATCTCTCACCCTCTCCCTTTTAAAGTTGCTTCTTTTTCTGTCCTACTGATCCTACAGCTAGTCTCCTACACTCCCTATACGCAAAACACTCCTCTGAGGAAGGAAGAGGGGTAAAGAATAGCTTTCTCTGGAGGCTTTTCTTTCCTTCTCGTGCTGGTTGTGCAGCAAGGAAAGGCCCTTCTTCCCTGTTCAGGTCAAAATACTGGAAATAATAGCACAGACAGGCCAGTCCTGTAGCCAGATGGAGCTCTGCTTGCTGCCTTGCAAAAGAGGAAGCAACTCAGGAGAAGCAGGAGCTTCTGATGCATTCGGGCACATTATTTAGTCTGACATCATGTTACAGGACAGCCAGAGACAGTACCCAGACACTGGATGACAGCAAGTCCATGTATGTGTGTGTGCACAAGTGTGTAGGACCGGCATCCCAGACACTGTATGCCAGGTTTGTGCTGGGCCTAGAAAAGTGCTTTTGGTCTGTGGGAGATGGAGTCAAAGAGCACTACCACTTTGGGAGAAGGCACACAGAATAAATGCATTCAGGGAAACAGCAACAGTAGGAAATAGCAGCAAAGGAAAAGACAGTGAACGTGAGCACACAGTCTCACCCACTTAAGCTGGATGACAATGTGACACTCACCCATGGTCTGGAAGTTCAGTGCCACCATCTGACAGCCGACATTCCAGAACATCTGGGGCATGTAATTAGAGGAGTCCATCCGGGTGCCTTTGGGGTAAATCCGGCTCATCTGTCGCTTGTTGTATCTACAGTTGCTCTATTGGAAACAAGTCTGGAGCACTCCTTGTGTACCCTGGGGCTAGCTCATGTATTCAGATTATGAAATTTGTTGTTTAAGCTCTGTTACCAAAAGCTCAGAGCCTTCCAGACAAGAAGGCCCTGGCAACAACAGGCTCCTTTCCCATACCCTTTCCACTTGAGGACAAGCATCTGGCAGCCTTGGAATTCACTACAGCAGGATGCATCCTGTCAAGAATCTCTCTGAGTAGCTCCCAAGCCACCCTGGAAGATCCCACGTCTCTAGCACCTGCACAGTTTCTATCTCTGATGAAGAGTTTACCAGGTCCTGAAACCAGAAGCCAATTGGATATGCCTCAGCCTTACCCAAGCTTCAGATTAGCTCTCATACACCATACAACCAACTACACTGGACAAAGGTTGCCAAAAGGATACTCTACAAACTGTGTAGGGAACTTGGTTAGTAGATCATAAGCCTTCAGCTCTGTGAAGGAAGAGATGACATAACTCCGGTTCTTCTCTAGAAACAGGAGATAAGAAAGCATTTAGAAGAAAAGCATGCCCAGCCCCCGTTCTGTGTGTGGGGACTAATGGACCCAAGAAGCACTTGGCCTGTTTACTCCCAATTTCTATCAGGTACTGTTTTCCATCAAGGCAATTTATCTTTCTCTGGTCCCTTGAAAAGGGACTGAAGAATAATACTCCATAAAAGGTGATTTATGTTTACCAGGGAGACAGTGGTTGTGCACTACAGGACAGGAACTTCATGGAGTACAGACAGGACTGGCTTGCAAAGCTTAAATGGCAATAATTTTGCCCATCTCTTCCTGGATTTCCATGACATTTAGAGAGTAGCTCCTGCCTGGAGTTTGAGTTCCAAGTAAATCCAAATATTCAAAGTCTTGCATGAAGTTCGTTATTTTGTCAAGTTTCCCCTTCTTCACTCCCTTATTGTTTAATTTTTCTTTGTTTCATCAAAGCAGCTCACTCAAAGCTAGACCCAAATGTGGGAACTGTTTAGAGGAACCTATTGTGTATAAAGAAATTGCCTGCATTTTCAGTGTTTCAGATGTTTCTCTGTCCAATCACCACAGTCACATACATTAGGAAAAGCTGGGCTCAACCCTGCCCTCAGAAGCAGCACAGCAAGCCCACAGAGATGTCACTGGCCTCTAGGCTGTTTCTTTTCATCTGCACTCATCTGACGTATCTGTCTTGTCCTTACCAATTCCTTACTACAGGGAGGAGGGCAGAAGGGAAGTGTTAGTGACCATGTGCATGTTGTGGGAGAGAGAGAACACAACAGAAAACGGGTGAAAGCAAGTCAGGGAGAACAGCAGCATCTGAAAGCACTACTCTCCTGGTCGAATGGAAATGCTTGGGATTCTGAAAGGACTGAATTTGACTTACGGGCAGAGACTTCAAAGGAGTCAAATTTGATAGGCTGTATGTAATTAACTAGGCTGGACATTTCCTCGTATGCTGTCACTTCCAAACCAGCAGTGCCCTGAACAGAAAACAAAATCCAAAAGATAACAGATGAAGAGACCTTTCCTAGAGGGGAAACAAAACACGCCTGGGCTTCACAGTCAAAGAACTCTGGTCACTGCCCTGACCAGAACACACCAGTTTCTTTGGCTTCCTGGTCCTACAGTTACATTGTGGGCAGCATAGTTGGGGGTGCAGACTTTCGAAGTAGCTTGGCAAAAACTGAAACTGAGGCACAGGGAGAGGTATTGGTATGTAAGAAGCCCAGGACCTCTTTAACCTCTCAAAGTATGGAGTCTAGGACAAACTGGGGATGTTGTTTTCCCTCCTCGCTGAGTGATACTAGGGAGACGGAAATTGGAAATGAATTTTTTTATTCAAGGGAATGCTGAAGTCCTCCTTCCCTCTTCAGCAGCAGCACTTCATGTTTTGGTAACAACTTTTATCACACTAAGCCTCTCCAAACACCCTGAAGACAAACAATTATCTCCAAATCATGCAGAATATCAAAGGCAGAGTCAGAAATAATAACTCTTCTGCCATATTCTCTATGCTTGCAACATAATTTCTCTTATTCAGTTTCTCCTGCAAAAGTCATGTTGCACAGAGGAAGGATTGGTCATAGCACAGTTCATTCCCCTTTGCATTTTGGGTTCATCTCTGTTCAATACAGTGAGGCCCAGAGAAAACTGGAGGCCAGGTAAGAAACAGAAAAGGAACAGAAACAACAGTGACAGTACCTCATCTGACTGCATCTTTTTAATTTCCTCTTCATCCAGGTTTCCAAGAAGTACATCCTCTTCCTCTGGTTCCTCTTCAGCCACATCACCTGCCCAGACTAAGCACACACAGCCCACATCAGTAGTACATAACAGTAGCACTCTGAGACAAGACATTGCAGATTGCTAGCAATTGAAAGCTCTGCAAATCCTCACAACCAAGTCATGCAGGAACAGTAAGTGGAAGAATCATACAATTTTATTAGCCAAATCCAAATATGAACTAGCAGACTCTGGACTACCACACTCAAGAGACCAAATCATTCCTTCTGCAGGCTTCCCTCATACCCCAAGAGTGACAATCACAGTGCTGTTTTCCCCACCAAGGTTGCACACATTTGTGGGAATAAATGTCGAATAAATGTCCATTTCTAGGTGCTCTATGGTGGCGCTCACCTTGTCCTCATATGACTTCATGCGCTCCTACCATGACAGGGACTGAAAATTCACTGTTCTATCATAGGTTCCCTGAGCCCAAGAGTTGACAGCCTTGAGACTGGAGGAAGAGAGGAGAGTGGGGCTGAAGGTTCTATAAACCTTCAAGAACCTCAGAGTGAAGAACTAAGCCACGCTGGATTTGTGGTTATTAGAGAGCTACAAGCAGTAGAAAATTATCCACCCTTCCATAAAACCAATAGCCAGTGTGTATCAGTGAATTACCAACTCATGCAGCCATATGCCTCAGAGTAGGCAGAACTGACTGATGGGCAGGGCTTATGTTGATTGTCTCTTTTGTTTGGAATGAAGTCTTTGAAAATATTCTGAAGATTTAATTTATCTTTCAACCTTATGCTGCTTCTTGAGGTAACTGAATTAATGACTAGTAGTGGCTTGCCTCAAGCTAATTTGGGGTGATTTGGAAGGTCTCCAGTGGGCCAGGCTTGCTCATCTAGCTATACTAGTCCCATTTTCCCTTCAGATGTACCAGTACCTTCAGCATCCATAGGGGCTGGCTGCTCGACGATTTCTGGTTCCACATTCCTCCCTTTCTTCAGAGAGTTCTGCCTCTTCCCAGATATAGATTGGTTCTTTTTGTTCTTAATCAAGATTTTCCCTAAGAGATCCTTAGGACTTGGCAGAGGAACTCCTGGCTTCAGCTGCAACAGATAAACTTCAGACTGAATTTTCATCACAAAGACAGAATTCAAACACTCATCTCTCCTGTCCCTCCCAGTACCATTCCTCTGGTCATTTACTTGTGCATGGACACATCTCTCACCCACTGTATAATTTCTCTGTCTGCTGCCATATCCCACTATATCTACGCAGATTTTTCCTAAGACTTCACCTTTGGTTTCAGACCAGGATTTTGCACCTCTCAGCCCTCTCATGTTCTGCTGCCTGCACATGCCATGCTGTTCCCAGCCACCTATCCTGTACCACACCAAAAAAAAAAAAAAAAAAAAAAAAAATCTACATGGCCTGAAGGCATCCACACACCTCTGGCTTTCACATTCCACCTACTTCTCTCATTATCCCAGAGCCTCAGACCTAGATCAGCACTCGGGCCATATTCAAACACTCTGCCTGCAGCAGATTTGAAAAAAACATCCCAGAGTAGGTGGCTCAAGACAAGGATGTGTGACTCCGACTGTGCTTCTAGCCCTACACTCCCTGTACAGATAGCATCAGGCCTATTATTAATTTAGCTAATAGCCTGAACCGTTTCTCCCAATACATACCCTGTTTCTCCCTATTGGCTGGACAAGGACATGGGTCTGGACAGTGGGCAACTGCTGATTTGCTCACTGCTACTTTTCAGCTCTTCTTTTGATCTCAGTGCTTTAAAATAGATGCTGGGTCTAGGTGTCTCAGCTCCCCCCTCCAATACATATCCCAAGGAACTGCCTCATGCTTTGTTGCAGAACAGAGGCACTGCCCGTTATTTGTAAATGAGTGTCCATTTGCAAGGAAGCTGAAGTAGCAATGTGCATGGGGATCACCAAGGATGTCACTGCATCCACAAAAATACATGCTTGTACAAGTAAGCTGATGACTAGGGTCAAACAGATTGGGAGCTTTACTCAGCTGTTCTGAGCACAAAGCTATGCATGTCACTGACTTGTCCACCTATGCCTGGAAGGGAGTATTTCCAGGTTGGAAGCAGGAATTGAGAAACATTGGTAGGAAAGTCCTGAAATGCTACTAAGCCCTTGTTCCTGTTTCTTTCCAAAGCAAGTGCTGGCAGAGAGATTTGAAACAGTACCATGTACAAAAATACGCTGACACATCTTGGTACAACTGGTACAACTTGGCTACCTAGAGCTCAAGTTTCCAAAGTCACTCAAGTCACAGAGTGTTAAATAAGAGCAGTCAGGCAAGTGCATAGGAAAACCTCTGCAACTGAGAGGTCTTCCATCCACTTACGATGCTCACGCCTATGACCCAGGCTTATTTGTCCATGGCATCATGAAAGACCTCTCCACTAGCCTCCTTCCCCAACTCCCACTTACTGGGTATTTTTCCAGCGGCTCTGTCAGCAGCATATCTCCAAATATGGTTCGGCAGTACTCAGCCATCTTTGCCTGCTGCTTGGGCCTAATCAACAAAGAGATCAAGCAGGAGTGAACAGGAAAACAGATGCCCAAATCCAGAGCTTGGCATGAACAACCACCTCAAGATCTATGTACTCTACACAGAAAACCATCTCTTGCCTTCACTCAGACAGCTATGCAGATCCTGAAGTTCTTTCCCAGGCCAACTACCATTTGTTCATACTCTGCCATCCTGAGCTAAAAGGCTGCACAACTGTTGTCAGTCTCACTCTACAGCTTATAGCTCATTTTTCAGCTCTGATCCACCTCCAGTTGCTTCAGAAATCTCAATCAATGTTTCATTTCAGCTCAGGCACTCACTTAAAACCCAGCAGCCCTTGCTTGTATACTTTCTGCTCTGGACAGCAGAGAACGCAATTCTTCCAATCACTAGATACTCACGAGTCCACATGGTTCTCAAAGGACAGGATGACAGGGTAGAGAGATGTTTTAAAAGCACTTTCTGCAATGGCCTCAATGGCATCCTAAATGAGAGGCAATGGTCAGAGAAAAGATCAGCACTCATTAATAACAGAGACATGCAGCTGACCTGCTGCTGAATGGATTCCAAACTGATCATTGTCAGGAGCTTCTTTTTAAAGTAACTAAACTTCTCCCAGTAAGAAGGTGAGAAGTGTCATCTTTTTCATACCTGCCCGGATTTCCAGCTCCAGAGGATACAACATGCAGCTAAACTCAATAGCTTGCATAAAAAATGAAGCTGAAGATGTAAGAATATGCCTTTTTTTTTTTGTTGTTACATAGTTCAGTGTATACATAAACAAATGTGAAGCAGAAAGGCAAGCCACTGCCCCATGCACTTTGAATTGGTAGAGAAAGGTGTATGCAGCACCAGATTGAACTGCTTCAAATGCTATTTTATACTTACCTCTGAACCTGTCCAATTTTTTATCATTTCACCTGCTTATAAAATCCTTCTGTCTAGCAGCAAACTGGAACGTTCAGTAACCAGCAGTGCTGACATTTCAAATGCAAATACCATGGAAACGTTCTCAGCATTAATGATGTAAGAAAAAATAATCATATTTTCCCCAAGCCCCTGTTAAACTGCGACAAACTTTCCACTATTTTCTTTAATGGTGCTGCTAATTGACATGGTAAAGAAGAGTCATTTGCTCCTTTGCAATTACAGTCCCCTACTCCCCCCAAAATCCTGGTTCAGCCATGATCTTAGCACTGAGGGAGGCTGCCACAGCTGCTCCTGCATGGACCACTTGGACTTTCTATCACAGAAACCCGCAAGGTTCAGAGGAGTAGAAGCTACAGAAAAAGCTACTAAAAGGCCACAGGCAATGGTAGAAAAGGGAGAGAAATGTGGAGGGAAGGATCTACATATTATGTAAAACTAAAACCTGGGCACATGCTGCGTTAACAGGTTGTAATTTCCTTCAGGTAGTCACATGCTTTAACAGAACTCTGCAATTACCACAGCTACAGCTGTCATTATTTCTCCTAACTGTAGTGAACTGCTGTGCAAAAACCAGCAGTGGTACTACAGGATTTGGGAAATTACTGACACTGAATATGACAATACCTCTGATCTTAAGGACTGGGGGTTTTCCCCCCGCCCCGACATAAATATTTTAGTAATAGTGAAGTGTGGGAACTGGGGGGAAGATACGGAATAAGAATAAATAGCTTTAAAAAGAATCTAAAGTGCCTCTGCCTGTTGGTAGCAGCTGTGTAAAGGAATGCAGAAAAGAATAAGTGCAGTGCATTGATTTTTAACCTGCAAGCTGTTTCTAAGTTCTGTGGTTAAATGCCCTGTGTTTCCAAGGGAGACGTAGGCTTTGCACTGTGCTTCTGAACCCTGGGAGCTGAATCCTCAGGGAAGCCATCTGCCCAGCACGCTAGAGGGCAGTTGCTCCACTGAACACGTTCCACACACTCATGTAATTAGGAAGTAACTGAAACTTATATTCTTCCAAAGCGCCATCATGTGAGGCTGTAAGCCGCAGAAACCTGCTGTAGACCAGTTAGAAGATAAACTCATTTTAACCATTTGTTTTCTAAAACCCATTGTTTGTTTCTCTGACGTGCATCCATCCATAAATCCACCATCCTCATGCAACTTTCTGTCCATACATCCATCTTGCTACACAACCATATGTATGCAGGCATGTCTACTCAACCATCTCTCCATCACTTCTACATGACTGCCTGCACTTTCCTCATTCATTCATCTTCATCTAGCTAACAACCTCTCTTCTAGGCCTCCCACTCCAAAAACGTACGCAAACTCCAACCTATTGCGTATTTATTCATCTTTCATTCTGTCTTACACTTCATTCACTTGGCATCTTGCCATCAATCTTCTCCTCTCAAATATCTTTGCCCTCAGCCCATCCATTTGACAGCTCCCTCAGCCAGCCTCCTCAAACAGAGATCAGTCTAAAAACAAGCAGGGGAAAGCATGTATGGAGAAAACTCTTTCCGTACCTTGAAGAGGATCTCAGTTGTCATGGTGAACCCATGAGTGATGATTGGCTCCTCATCCGGGGGACGACCCTTCCAGCAATCCAGCTCCACGCAGCGGCAGCCAGCCAGCAGTGTCTGGCGATACATTTCAGGAGATGAGATCCCAGAAAACTGACCAGCTGGAGGACAGCAGAAGGAGAGAGGCTCAATGTTAGCTACTCATATGGGACAGTTTCTGCATAAACCAGAGCGACAGAACTCTCTGCCATCCTTGAGCAGGTGTATGTGGCAGACTGACAAGATGGTTTTGGTTACAGGGTGACATTTCTTCTTCTTACACAGCATTTAAGTGCCAAGGCCCTCAGAGTGCATTACAGCCCTCAGCCCTCCAAAATTCAGGGCAGATACATCTGCCTGACTGATTGTCAGTATCATTCATCCATCCGCTGTGATAGTACATATGCGTTGGAGCTGAGGCAGACTCTGGAACTGCCCATACCTGTTAAATATGTGTTGTGTGATGAATTGATGAAGTAGTGTGAGAGTGGCTGGGTCATGTCCTGGTACAGCTGCAATTTGTCCAGTGCTATCACATTGTTCTCAGGGCCACAGAGAAACCAGACCATCCCCTCTGGAGACAACTGCCCTACAAAGAAAGCAAAGCTGTTAACAGTACCGAAAACAAATGCTTCTGGCATCTCCTTGCCGGTGCATTGCAATACAGGGACTTATGAGAATCAGGCTGACTGCTCCCCTAGGAAAGTCAGGGTAGCAGAAGGTGCAGGATGCTCTGCTATTTTCATACTATCTTTATAGCAAGACTTTTGGGCTGAACAAGACTCACCTCTCTGGATGTTAATCCCACTGGGCTCATACTTCTCTATCAGGCTCTGCACCTGCTCAGGTTTGGCTGGTGGGAAGAGGATGTCATTGAGGCGAGAGTCTCGCTGCTTCTTATTGATAAACTTTGCCAAGTGCTCTTTGGTCATGTAGGGCTTTGCTTTTAAATGGCTAAGGTGAGAGAATTACAGAGGAGCAGAGGTAAGGCCTGTGTATTACCCAGAAAACCTTTTCACAAAAGAGAGATTGGTCCTTCCTCAGGTTAGCAATAGGTGTCCACCTGCCTGGGCCCACAGTTTTCTGTTTTGTCTACATTTCTTCCCATAAGCGATGCTTCCCACTGTGGCCTTTCTTTTTCCTCACTAATTCAATACTGTGAAGAGGTTGTAGTGAGGGGAGCACAAAGCATATTTTGAGCCTCTGACTCGAACTCTAAAGGGACTTGAATTTCAGAGCACACCAAATTGCTTGCCCTATGAAGTCAAGTACATTTAAGAACTCACAGATTTAGCTACTTGGAAAAAAAAAAAAAAGTCACTGGCTACTTGTGAGGATCTATGGTTCTCATGCTGTACATAGCCTTGTTTGGGGCTAGCCACAAGCAGTATCACATTACCATGATCTAGTGTTAATCTGGAATCAGCCCTCCTGATGGTGACAGTTAAGAGTCCTTGCAGCACAGTGAGGTCTCATCCTTTTTATTCACGCTGTGAGTGAAAGCGTTAAGTTCACTGGCACTGTCTTGTGACCTGCGTTCCTGCCCTTCTAAGGCTTGAGACCAGACAAACGACAGAGCATAAAATCCCCTCGCCCCTCCTTTTTGCCTCTTTTTTGCCACAAGAGATCAAGTTCTTTGCTGTGGCTTAAGGGAAACTTACTGTGAGGTAAATATCTCATCAATCTCAGGCCGTGGACACAGATTCATGAGGAAAGTTTTATACACTGTCTCAGGGAAGTCCTCTGGGTTGATGGCATCATTCTGAGATTGCAACAAAGACATGTCAGTATCACAAACTCATGATGGCTTTCATCTCTCCATTAACACCCACAGTCCAGCACTTGTTTGTGACAATGCAAGTAAGCGACTGGAACATCTGGCAAGGTATTTAGGAAAGAACAGATGGAGTGGAGAAGCACCATAATACCCTATTTTAGAACGGACAGTTATTTAAACTGTCCCTCGGTGCCTCTTGTGTGATGGTATAAAGCTAAAGCTTGATGCAGCAGTAGGAGCTGTCAGAGCCTTGGATTTTACTCTGCAGGTTGGTAGGAGCACCAAGATTAACTGTTAGATCTGTTGCTTCAAAGAGCAGACAGTGACACAGGTGGAAGGGAACATGCTGCTTCTTGTGCCACATACTGCAAGTGATGGAGTCGCAAGCGTTACTGCAATAGAAACAGTAAGAATTGATCCTAGCACGCTTGCAGTTAAGGCATGACAGCTAGTGGTAAGGAAAAGGTTTCACAGCAACAAAGAGCATCTGGGCTGATGATTTTTTCATACCCAAAGGCAACACAGTCAGGGTAGGCAAATATTCTCAAACTAACGATACCTTTGGCTACCTAGCAAAACCCTTACCTTGCCCTTTGGAAGATGACAAGCGGTTAATGCTGCTTCAACCCTCTTCCTGTCTGCAGGAAACATCTGAAAAATACTGACCAGACAGGGGAAAAAAGAAATCACCACAACATAGCAGAAGTGAATTCAGAAAGCCTGGGTTTGGGTGCCTGGGAGCTGCAGCCAGAATGCAAGACACTCAAAATGCACAGCAAAGGAGACTGACAGGAAGACTGTAAACATGAACCAGAGAAAAAAATGCAGTGTTTCTCCAAAGGAGTAACTGATGCACCAAGTCTTATATACCTACAGTGGATTTTTTGACTGCTGCCTTAATACAGAAGTTCTGTGTTTCTGCTATGGACTCTGTGAGAGCCCTGTCACTAAACTGCATCAGCTTACTCTCCAAACCCCTCTTCATTGTCCTCCCCCTGCCCCTCTTGGAGGTGCCCCCTGTGGTAGCAAGCTTCATACCACAATTCCTCAGGACACTTCCCTCCACAAGACGCTATCCCATGTGGTAGCTGGCATTAGCAAGGAATAACTTTGTAGTCTAGACAACATTCAAAAAAATCAAACAAACATTATGCACAATTGCTGCTTTGAAAAAAGGCAAAATTTTCTGGAACCAAAGGCTTTCCATGAATTCAAGGAACAAACTCATTACACAGGCAAGAAGCCAGTATACTACATGATGGAAGCACAAAAGTCTGCTGCTGCAGAAACCAAAGCTCACCTCCAATTTAGAAAGCTGGGTACTGGTCTGCAGGGCAGAATTCACTTGGTCAAGCCTTGAGCATAAAGCAGCCTCTTTGCTGCACTATGGAATAGCAACAATAACTGAACTCTCCCTACTGTCAGAATATCCCAGTCAGCAGCAATGAGGTCTCCTCTGTGGATAAATTTAGATGTCAGCTCTATTAAGCTCCTGGCATCACAGCTGCTTACAGCCAAAAAGGGGAACAAAAAGTGCCAAGTGTGTTGACAGGTGGAAGAGCATTCAGTGGGAGCTGCAGCAGACTTATGCAAACTCAGTGCATATTCGTTCCCAAGCTTCCCTTTGCAAGGCAAAAATTGCAGCACCCTTGTTATGATTCAAGAGGGAATTAAATGTCCAAAGAGAAAGGCAGATGCTCAGTGGAATTTTCAGAAGAATCAGACATGGAGTTTTGAAAGCCTTACATATACCTGCACCTGGAGATATTGAATATTTTTATAAATCTGGCTCTTAATTTGGACTATTTAATGGTCTAATGCTTTATACAGTAAAGCATTTTTACCACACTGCAAGACAGACAGACGAGGGCATTGAAGAGAGGTACAGCCTGTACCAGATATTTTCTCTAGCTTATTTCAGAAGAATAAGCTGTTTTCTCTCTACAGTAATGCTACCTTGCTTGCATTTTAAAGATCAATTCAAAATACTCTTCCCTAGTGTGAGTTATTCATTAAAGACCTATACATTTTTAAAAGCCCTTTGATGAATACACTGGTTTCTGCCAGAATGAAATTCTGCTGGTTGGTGGTTTAGAAAACAAACAACAGAAAATGTTTATTGTAGAATACTGGTCAACCATCCAGGAGCCCATTTAGCAAGCATAGACAATCTAGAATCGTTATGCAATATAACACACAGTAGGTAGCATATTTATTACAGGTGATTAGCGCTTGCCTCTTGTGATGCTATAACACAGCATAAACCTACAAGCAGAGTGGTTCAAGATTTCCCAGTGAATACCCACAAATGCACTACCTGCAGGTCCTTATACTTAAAACAAAAGATAATTTATGCACCCAAAAGGGAATTCAACATGGCAGTGCAGCCTTTTGTCATTCATTCATGACTTGAATCAACATGGAGGAGCCATAGGATCAGTCATGGAGTGATTTTACTAGGGAAGACACTGAGTGGCACAAAATCAATGCTAGATTTATGCTGTGCAGTGCAGGGGGGAAGTAATAGGCTGGTCTTTGCTTCAGCAAAGCAGCCTTGGCTTATTCTAATGGCAGTACTAGCCTGATGCACAAAGCCAACCATGGGGAAAGTGAAGTGCAAGTCTCCACTGTTCCGTACTTGAACCAGCATTAACATTCGCCAAGACGTTTGCCCTCAAAGGCTGTTTCCCTCTCATGCACATCCAGAGTAAAGACTGAGGGCAGCGGAATTACACCAGTGGAGAACGATTGTAGTGGTCACACGTGAAGAAAGGAGACAAGCAAAAGCAATGGACCCCTACTTCAGGCTAGCCTGGGAGTCAAGCAAAAAGTTCTCCAAATACAGAACTCCTTATATGAAAGGTAAAATGAGTCCTACACCTCAGCCACCTTTCAAATCAGGTTTGCAAAGCAATCTGTGATCAGAATTTTACTGAAGTTGCTTGGTTTTGTTGATTATTTCTTGGCAACAGCCAGGAAGTGAAATCCATGGCTGTTTAAGGCAATTTCTTGCTGCAGTTTAAGGCCACAAAAGGTCTCCTTTCCAGACCCAAATTATGTCCCAGGCCCTTCCCTGGGAGGCACCTAGATGCAACAGGAGTCCCTCCATGGCCTGAATCTGGAGGGAATGATCTCTACCTCTTAGGTGCAGAAAGAGCAGGCAGCTGAAGCCATTGGGCAATCATACTCTTACAAGCTGCTCTGCCTTTAGTCTGACTGAACACACAATAAAACAAATATCCATACTCACTTCCTGACAGGAATTTTCCCCTCTGCATTAAGCTGCATCTTCAGCTTCACCAGGCTGTGAAAAAATACAAGATTATGAAAATACACTTGTACAATCTTAGAGGTCCTATTCAGTAAGGAGAAAGAAAAAATATGCAACTGGGAAAACAATCTAACAGTTAAATGAAAATCAGACCAGTCCTACAGACCATCAGCTTAACCTCAGACAACCTGTTCCTGTTTCTTGGGAAGGACAAACCGGCAAATTATAAGAGCTTAGATATCAGAAATATTCCTCTGAAACATAAGATATAGATATGAGATAATGATAACTCCTATTATTTAGCGTTCCTCAGTGATCCCAGATTGCCAACCAAACAGTATGAGAGTGCAAAGAAACAGAGGCAGCACTTTGTTGGGCCGAGTGCTGTGACTGCGGTGGGACACATTTGAGGCTCAGAATTTCAGTTTCTATAATACCACGTGTGTGTTTGATTGGCTTGAGCACTTCAGTGCCAGTCAGTTGTCATGCAACATAATGGCCCAACTACCAACTCCCCTACCTGTGCCTTGGGGCTCCTGAGCTGATACAGGACTAGTTTTGGAGGCTGCCAAAGGACCTGGATGCTAAGAAGCCTTTTCTTTCTAGTACAGACAGAAAGGGCAGGACAAGAACATTTCAGAGAACAATGTTTGTCAGAAATCACTTACATTTTCTCTAGGAAGGTGTACCGAGAAGCGTTGTATGTGAGGGGATTCCGAACAATGGCCATAATATCCTCAGCCCAGCTCTGGGAACAAACACACACAAAAGGCAGAGGCAGTTGGGCATTACGGAACTGCACCAAGAAGTACACAGCAACAAACGTGAAAAGGGCATAGAACCATAGAATGATTTGGGTTGGAAGGGACCTTTAAAGATCATCTAGTTCCAACCCCCCTGCCATGGGCAGCGACATCTTTCACTAGACCAGGTTGCTCAAAGCCCCATCCAACCTGGCCTTGAACATTTCCAGGGATGGGGCATCCACAGCTTCTCTGGGCAACCTGTTCCTATGCCTCACCACCCCCATAGTAAAAAACTTCTTCCTTACATCCACTCTAAATCTGCCCTTTCTCAGTTTAATACCACTACCCCTTGTCCTGTCACTACAGGCCTTGGTAAAAAGGCCTGTCACAATACTGCTGGGCTCCAAATCCCAACAACTGTGCCCTGGGCTTGGCTATATCACCTTCCTACTGCCTATATATACTAGCAGCTGAAACCTTTCCACTGAGTCTTCTCAGCTATTTATCCATACAAAGCACATGAAGGACAAAAATTTCTTCTACTGATTCTTCTCCATGCAGGACAGAAGTTTCTAGAACTATGGAGGTACCACACCTTACTGGAACATAAACCTGCTTGTTTATAACCTTGCCAGTAAGACTGACAGGGTTCAGGTTCCCCACCTTCCCCTCTCCTTTCCTGCTCCCCACTTAATGCCCCAATCCTTAGTGTTTCCCAGTGTTTCCTAGCCCTCAGGACTCAATACCTTGCCAACATTCTCCTTGTAGGACACAAAGTTATGGAAAGTGAGGTCAACCATGTCAGGGCCAGATACAATAGTCAGAGTCTTAAGCAGGAAGGTGCTGTGAGGGTAATCCAAGTTAAAAACCTCTCGGAGCTTCTGGCACTGCAAAAGAAACAGAACAGATGGAGATGAAGGGAGAATGAGGCAAACTGTACCTGAAAAAAACAGGAACCAATCCAAACATTGACCCAAATTCACGGCAAGCTTTTCAAAGGTTGCAAAACTGTTTAACATTATCTTCCTTTCCTTGGCTTTCCTTATTTTTCATCTTTATTCTGGAGTCTATGTTACCTGGATCCTCTGTGGAACAAAACATTGCGACTAACATCACTGCACAAACATGCTGGTTTGGTCTGAAAAAGTAAAAGTTGGAGACTGCTTTTAAAGAAATTCATTCTGAAACTTCAGCCTGACCTTGCAGACAAGCAGAGGAGTATTTGGCCTGCTCATACCAGAGGTGCATAACCAGGTTATTGCAGACAGCCATTTGTGAAAACACACACTAAGAAGGTCTTTTAGATTAGTGTGATACCTCCCTCCACCACAAGAAAGATGTTGTTTTCAACCCAGAAGGTCTACCCACTTTAGACATGGTCACTGGAGAGGTGGGCTGTTCTTCCTCCAGGTCACGTTTTCTGCTAGTTGTCAAGTTGCTAGAAGTGTTTTTTTCCATAGCAATTACAGTATCCTACAGCAATGGCTCACCAGAGATTTGTTTTGTTAAGTATAAGGCTCATCTGATTAGTCATACTCAGATTTCATCACCATATGAAAGTATTTATAGAATCCCTTTAAATTATTTAGCATTTTCTGCATTCCTACGTAAGGCGTCACTAAGCCAAGGTATCCTGGAGTCGTACTGACGGCTGCTATTTATAATGAAGAGATAAAATTCCCAAGTCCTAGAATAAAGCACAGCAATTCATTATCTAAAGCACAGGATAAATACATATCAAAGCAGACAGGGAGGCTGTCAAGAGAACCTGCTCCTTCAGAAACTAAGGGCAAAATTCACGATCTGGGATTGTTAGCAGAGCAGGTCAGACTCAGAAGTTTAACTGGAGCTGGAATCTGAGCTCTTGCTGTATGCACAAACCTACAGTTAGACAGATGGCTGAGTTACTGCATTTCAACAAGTTAAAACATCAGTAATACCGTAACACATAACTTATCACGTTAACTTCCACAAAAGAGGTTTTAGCTAAATGACTTTACCTTTGTGTTTGCTATAAACTTAGAGCACACACAAAGTCAGTCACTGCAGTTCAGCTTATGTTTAGTGACTTGTTAAGCTGCTACCAACTGGACAATGCCTGAATCCTTGCAAGTTGAAGAAAGCGAATTCCCCGATCTCAGGCTTCCATGGGCCTCAATTTATCCCAAACCAACTAAAAACCCCTATATGCAACCATCTGTCTGCATCACATTGTGATTCAAATGGAACCAATTCCATTTCTGCCACAGAATTTTCTCTTTACATTTGGACTGTAATAGCAGAAACTCCAAAACAGCTCAGCTTCAGGCGTTCTTAAGTGTCTGTACCATGTCACGCACAGAGCTGCATATATATTTTATAAGGAACTCTGCAGACTTTTTCCACTGCGTTTTTCCAAATTTCTGGACCATTTGCAATTTTGACACATCTGTAGCAAACAGGCACCTTTAGAAAAAACAGGATGGGCTGGATTACAACTCGTGATCATCTGACTGCTGTCTCTCACTTCACAAAAGCAACTCTCCGCAGGGGTAACTCTGAAACCTGTATAATCCAAAAGTATTTAGAGGGAAAGAAGGGGGAAAATAGTCAGCCACCCAGAAGATTTGCCTATTTTCCAATAGTTAGGGAATTTCTAAAATGCCTCATTTTTGCTTTGTGAGCAATTTTCCTTCACAGAAGTGAGCAGCACCCACATACCCACACCTCCTTTCCACACTCATAGCAACTTCTTGATGGAGCTTAACTTTTCATTACAAGTGGCAAAGTGTTAGGATTTTAACTTTGAATTTAACTTCATCTTTCAAACCCACTGGCCTTTGTTCAGCTTCCTTACCTCTAGTGTTGTAAATTATATGAAGCTAACACAATAGAGAACTTGTGGTTTACACTGAACTCATTTCCTGTATTTGTTACAAATCGGCTCCTCCCAGCCCTTCCTTCTCTGCAAACTGGTGTTGCTTGGCTCTCCAGCAGACATTTCTGTTCATGCTGTGTCTCCAGCAAGCTGAATGCTGCATCAGAGCTTTTGCCTTTATCTAGCTGTGCTCCACCAGACAAAACTGACACATGCCGTGTTTGGTAACGGCCTGATATCCGATCACCTTCTCAGAAGTTGCTCATGGTTAGCCTTAGCTGCTCTTTATATGCCATGCCCTTTTATCAGCATTAACTTACGACACCTCCTAACACCTTGGCGACGTTGATAGCTTCATTTTACGAGAAGCAAACTGCAGTGGGGAGAGGAAAGGATGATCTTGTCAGGGATCTAAATGGGGTCATATTTTCCCAGTGACTGACTTCCTGCCTGGCCCTAAGCAAGTCACGGGCTTACTTCGTGCTGCCTTTTCTACGTGGGGATTATCTCCCTCATGGGATAAAAGCAGTGATGTTGGCATAACACTGAATGAAGATGGTGAGAGAGGACCAGAGACTGTGTCCAAAAGCACTGAACCTGATGCCACATCTTGGCTCTTTCACAACCTCTACACCTTGTGCTGCAGGTGGCCATGAAGGAAAAATAAGAATTGCTACATGAAAAGCAGGACAACCATGTTAGCCATGCAAATCAGAGGAAGGGAAACACGCTCAGCAAATCCACTTAAAAAAACCCAAACAAACAGAAAACAACCCACCGGCAGAGTGGCTGAAATACAGATCCAGCTTGCATTTCACTTCCCACCTCCTGATTTCCCTAAAATCCTCATCTGTACAAACCAGATTCATAGTCCAGAGAAAAGCAAATTCTCATGCAAATATAATCAAAGAGCCAGGCCTAATGCAAGAGACAGACAGTCCTTTCTCTACTTGAAACGGGATACAGCCAAATGATAGCCGGGATTTGCCACAGCTGCATGCGCTCACTGCACTGACAATTTTGTATCTTCGCAAAACACACTACAAGATGTACTGCTTGTGGTATTAGAAGACAGGACGTGACAACAGATCTTCTCTTTTGGAGAAGAAAGGTCTGGTTTGGTTGCCAGAAGGGATAGGGAGCACCAAGATTATTCAAATGCTTTTGGCTCTGCAGGTAATGCTCGTGTCCTCATTAGCAGCACTGCTCCATCATGGGATTCAGCAACAAGACCGACTGCTGTGAAGCAGGGAGGGCTGTCCTGCCACTGTCTGCATGGCGGGGGCCAGCCTGTCTCTGTGCCAAGCATCTCAGTGAGACGAGGCAGAAAAAAAATATGCAGATGAAGCACTCTCAGCTCCCATTGCTGTCTTATCTAAAGGAACCGGAAAATGCAGCAGCACACAGATTCACATGGCACAAAATAACTCGCGGCATTCTGGAATCGAGCAGGAACAGACTGCGAGGGAGAGATGCAGACTGTGCATCCTCAGTAACTTCTGTCCCTGTGATCTAAGAGCTCACATTGTGGAAAGATGGAAGAAGCAGAAAAAGGGCTCAGCATGGCAAAGGGCCGTTATTCAGATGTGACTGTTTCCTTGTTTGGCCCCTGCTCCCCTATTTATAAATCCTTTGCAAGCCACAGGCTTCTACCCACTTTTCTCTTGCATGCGCACATATCGGTTTAGTCACCATATGGGCTACCTGTGATCACTTTTATATGGAGGCCTGAACATCAGACTGTGTTTAGTTCCATCCTTTGCTGACGCCCATTGCTGAATCCAGAGTGTAGCACTGAGATGATGCTGAATACCCAGAGCTGCTGCCTTCCCCCTGTGATGCAGCAGAAGAGCTGACCACCCACAACGTGTTTATAGTCCACGGCTCAGCCCTCTGCTCAGCTCCAAGTGCAATGTGAGTGCTCCCTGCAGTAGTGTTCCTAAACACTACTCGCTCCTATTTTATCATCTCAAAATATGACACGTGAAATACCTCAGTATAATTCTCTCCCTTGTACATGTTCAGTTCAGAGTCTGCATCTCTGGGTTCGATAACAACAAAATGTGCATGAAGGCTAAAACTGTTTTATAATCATAACAGTCAGAAAAAACAACTTCTGTTTTTATGAAAAATTATGCTTGTTTCAAAGCCAATGCCTGCTGAAATGTCTAAACAAAACCCAAGATGAAGCCAACAGCCTGGCCTAAAACATCATGTATTGTGGTCCTAATTATTACATTCTCTGTCAGTGTTCTAGGGTCTTGGTGCATCAGAACAAAACAAAATGGAGCAGCCATTATTGTTCCTTGTTACTCAAAGGAAAACACAGAATTGCATTGTAAATAACATCTTGATCTGCTTCGGCATGCTGCTGAACTACATTCAATAGCTTTTTATCTTGTCTCATTTATGTTCAAAGTCCCTGCTAATTCTTATCTTTATTACTCTTGAACACGCGCCAAAGTTCATTCTGCCCCTTCTCTCAAAAAAGATCTCCATGGAGAAAAAACACTGCAGAACACTGAGTAGCTCTCAAAGAAAATAAAGCAAAGGGGGTAAGAAGGGGAAACATGCACATGTATAGAAGAGGTCATGGGAGGACTCGAGGGCTGTGTGCGTGCTTGTGTGCTAATATGCCAGGAGGCGAGGGCTCAGGAGGGGGGCAGGAAGAGGGAGAAAAGCCTTTCTCAGAGAGCATGGCCATCCCTCACCTTCAGGCAGGTTCAGTTCCAGGAATAATCTCCTTCTGGGGCAAACAGCAGTGGCTCTTCTCATTTGGAGGGGGCTCCTGTTGCTGCCAGCCCTTAATGACTTGTCCCTTTTTCAGTGCCACACTTACTCTGGTGAGCACTACAGGGTGACTATCTACTCCCTAAACACTTGCAGTGGCAGGAAGGGGGTCCCACCAGTCCCTGCCTCCCAGCTTGCAGGGACAATGCTGTGACCTGTATTGGTGAGGTAGTGCATGTGACGGCAGGTCTTTTCAGAAGTGGCTTCTGTGTGGGTGCTTTGCTGTTATTCTTCTTGCTGCACATAGAGAGGTTACAAAGAAAAACCCCAAACCTCTTACTTAGCAGCAGTGGGAAAGTGTTACTGAAAGCAGAGAACTCCCAACATCCGCAGTACAACCACCCACTAGCAGGGAGACTCATTTCACCTACATGGGTCTGAAAAGCTCCGGGCATGTTTCACCCTCATGCAGCTTGAACCACAGCCAAAAAGTGCATAGTGCCTTGCAGAGGAAAGCAATAGTGCAGATGCTCTCAATAAAGCACTTTCCTTCCTTGTAAATGCCTTCAGTCACAATTCAGTATGAAAACCAGATCACAAGCTTTGCCTCACAGAGGCTGTGGATTTACTATGTACTATGGTATCACTTGCAAGGAAGGGGAGAGGAGGGGAAAAGGATGTTTGATTTGTTATTGGCACTATCCAAAGCTCTTCCAACAGCTGTGATGATCTTTTTGTCTTAAGTATCATCCATTAGCTGCTTCTCCTTCACTTTTAGCCAATGAAACAAGTAACCATTTGTATTAATTTCAGCAGTTACATCCCACAACCACTCTAAGCCATTATTTTGTAACAAGGGAGAGCACCCTTTTTCATTCTTCTACCCTTCACCTGTAACAGATCTTTGTTTGCTTCATCACACCAGTTTTTCATATTTATACCTTTTTGTAATGATGCACCTGCTGTAGGTGCCCTGTGTGGAGGGTGTGGTGATTCACATGAAGAAATTTTCACTGCTTTCTGCATTCCTTTGAGCAAATTCTGTTCTCAGGAAAGCCAACTGAATACACAACTGAGGGCTTTAAGCAAGCCCTGCAGAAGCATTGTGGATAGTACAGCCATGTGTAAATAAGAAATTTCAGGACAGGACAGCACATCTCTCCCACTGTTTTGGTTCAATGGACATTTCAGTGCCCACACAAGACCTCCCATCATCCCATAAGAGAAAGGTGGATAAGGAGCCAGCCTAGTGCATTTTACTATGTATTGTCATAGAAGTGCCAGAAAATTCCCTGAAACAAAAAGGGGACTTATTTTAAATGGGTCTCTGTGAAATGCAGAATTCAAAAAGCACTTGGGATTTTCACAGCAGAGGTTGTCATCAAGTGCATCACTTCTGCCTGTTGAGAATACTTAATAAATCACTTGGTGCTTGACCTTTGTTTCTTTGTTTGTAAAAAATGAGCGGTAGCCAATTCCCAGGACTGTAAAATACTGTCTCTGGCCTATTACAATGGCTAGAATACAACAGCTACACCAGGTCAGACCACAGATCCATCCAGATGCCTGGGGAAAAGCATAAGAACAGGGCAAACACAATGATACTTCCCTGACAGATTTCTGCAGCTTCCAGCAATTTATGATTCAGCAGCTTCCTAAACCTGAGGCATTATCTTGCATTTAATAACCCTCAAAGGGCATTCCCTTCTTGTCCTGACTTTTTAAACTCGCGTATGTTTTCATGACTTGTGCAGGAAGGCATCCCACAGCGCAGCGACACGAGGTGTAAAACAGCAAGCAGCACCTCCTTCTGCTTGTGCTGAACCTACCTTTGGAAAATTCCACTTGATGTGTAGCTCTCACACTGGAAGAAACACTGAGTAACTGCTTCATGCTCACCTTCTCCATTCAACTCCTGATTTTACAGCATTCCACAATACAACTCCACATTCCCCTTTATTCTTTTTTTGCCAGACTACAGTCCCTGCCTACTCAGGTACTCTCCCTACAGTAGCCATTTCGTTCTTTTATTAATCTTGCTGCTCTTCTCTACCTTTTCCAGTTCTTGTCTCATTTGAGATGAGGACACTAGAAATGTGCAGAACTATGGGTGCATTCTCGGTATACAGTGGCAGGATTTCCTAATTCTTTCCTCATAATTTGTAACATACAACTTACTTTTTTTGAGCAAATACTACTGAACACTGCACTGATATTTTACCATACCCTCATGATCTTATTTCTGAGTAGCAACAGCCAGCTCAGAGCCTGTTATTACAGAAGGTTAGGATCAGGGCTTTTTTTCTGTGTGCATTGTCTGATTTTTATCTGTACTAAATTTTACCACTTATTAAATCATCCAGTCAATCAGCAATTCAAGGTCTTTCTACAAATCAGCCCTCATTTTATTACCCCAAATAACTCGGTACCATTGGCAAACTTTGTCATGTCTCTATACACCTCCTTTGCAGATCACATAAGAACACACAGTACGTCACAGGCCCAGGCACTGATCTTGCTGGGAGTCTGCTGGTTCTCTCTCTCAAGAGACCTTGTTCTTATTCTCCAGCAGTAATTTTTCCATGAAAAGATGTCCTCTCTTATTCTGTTCTTTAAGAGCCTTTGCTTATGATGGGAATCACACAGGCCACTTTCCAATTTTATTAAAAAGATTTAGAGCTATGAAACACAGCCACTGCTTGCCCCTCCTCTTTTGCTTTTTGCTACCCTGATACTGCTCATGAATTTCCTCATTCTCTTCACAAACTTCTTTGTGCTTTTTTTAAAAAATCTCTTTTAAAAGGCCATTTTAGTTTTTCTCTGGATATGGAATGCAGTCATCCCAAAATCGTATTGTGAATTACTCTTCAAAAACTGGGGTTGGTCCTTGTTTCCAGGGCAATTCCTTGTTTGTGAGTAGGGGGCTCATTACAGAAAGATGCTGTTTGAGTAGAAATTCCGTGTAGAGGCAACTCTGACACTGCACTTGTGCCAGAATGTTTCTCCTGGTAGTCCCCAATTAGTCTTCCTTAACCAATTGCTAAAATCTAGGACATTTTTTCTCCAGCCTGCCTGTTGCCACCAGAAAGACATCCAGCTGTAGCCTCAATACTTACCCCATCAATTTATAATCTATATCAAAGCTGAATTCATTTTGTAAACAGGTTATTCCTGGAAGTTTAACACCCTAGAAAATAGTATCTCATACCTCTTCTTTAAGTTGGCCTTTTCCTTACTGCATTCTGTCTGCAGCACAGCACCTAGCTCTACCAGCTCCAAATATTTTATTCTCTCAAATAAAAAAAAAACCCAACCAAAACCAAACCAACTAACTTGCAAGAGCTTCTTTTCAAACATTATTCCCACAAAACAAGTTGCAGACAAAGTTTTAGGCTTGCTGAAAACTCAAGTATGTTTCATTCTAGCAAATTTCCAAGAAGAAACGCAGTTTCTGAGAAGGAATGATGATTTTTAAGAATTGTGTAAGATGGGTATTGTTCTTGAGCTCTGCTGTGACTTTAGCACCCACCTCATTATGGTCTTTTGAGGAACATCAGTCTCAGGGAGCTCTGAATAGACATTTTCAGAGCAGTATTAAGAAAACAGCTGTACTACTTACACAAAGAGGCTGCTAGAGTCTCTCAGTATATATTGCAAAATCTTCCCCTTTTGCGTTAGACTGAGAATCACCTATGTTACCATATGGAGCCATTATCTTTACTCCTTTGTTTCCTTTTCACATTCTAGTTTTACCTCAGCTTTCTGCTTGCCTTTTCCATACATGGAAAAGTTAAAAAACAGACCTAGAAAGAAGTCCTAACAAGGACAACTTTGCTGCAGGAAGCTTAAATTATAACTGAAACCAAGAACAAAGCCATAATCATGTGCCTCCCTTAGTCTGCCACCCTGCAAGCAGACAATTTAAAATTATTTGGGGAAAAAAACCCCACTGGTTTTTCTGAAACTACATTTTCTTCCCTTTAAAGGGAAAAAAAATCTCACCACACACTGCATTGGAATCTCACTGTAACTACAGGTTTGTAGCTGCCTTGACCCAGCCTGTGCATCTTTGCACAAGCAAGCAGCTCTGGTGACTCAATACAGAAGCATCACAAGTCTCCTGCAGGACTTCCCAGTGTAGCTAGACGCATGGCAGGGGAGCGAACATAGCTGCTGTGCACAACAAAAAACAGCTCTTTTGGAAAGCACTTGGAAGGGGAATTGCTGTTTTCCTAGCTTTCTGGCATATTCTTTCCAACAAGCTCATATACCATAGCCTGGAAGTGCCTTTCTTTTGAGTGCACAGAGGACCCCAGGGAGTTCAGAGACAAGAGTAAAGATGGCTTTTCTATATTTACATAGTTGTGATGTAAGGAGACAAGGTCTCCTCCACCTTCTTGTAACAGAAAGCCAGGATAAACTGCCTCAGCTTATGCCAAAGCCCTAGGCAGCCTCGCCTTTGCCATATGAACAACCGGCAGAAATGAAGCTATGCACTCACCTTGGGGATTTTTGCATATCGCCCCACTCGGGTATCTCTGATGCTGGTTATATCCAAAATTTCCATTTCCTACAACAAAATAAGGACAAGGAAGATGAAGAAAGACAAAGGAGGAAGGAAAGAAATACATTACAGAGGCCCCCAGAAGCTGCAAAGCAGGTCTCAGCTAGCACCCTTTACTGGGGAAGAGCATTCCCACCAAGAACAACACAGGCAGGGAAATATCAGCTACTGATAGGCAAAGCTGGCAGGCTGGCAAGTGTGGAGGCAGTGGTGGTCTGCAGCACCATCCTCTTCATGGTGAGGCCAGAGGCTCGGTGTGGATTACCATGAGAGGGAGCGTATGACATGCATACAGGTTTATATGGGGAAACTCTACCCCAGTTACAGTCTACGTGTTAATATAACCCAGTCTCCTGTCACTCATGTTCTCAGCCTGTCTTTTGCCTCCATGCATTCAACACTGAGTAGCTGAGCTGGAAGGCAGGCAAGACCACTTCTCCCCAGGTCACTCCTGGCAGACCTTCCCCTAATCTGTTCTGAAGCAATTCTCATGGAGGACCTTCCATAACCCTCCCTAGGCAGTCCACTCCACATCCTCACTACTGGCTGGTTGTCATGTTTATTTTGTTTGTTCTTTTAATATCCAACCTGAATTTCCTTCCTCTGTTACTAATTTGTCTGCTCACCATGGATCTGGAGAACAAATTATACTTGTTGCAGCAGATAATATTATTTTCCAAGATCACAATAAGGAACAATGTGGATAACGTGTCTTCTGGCTGTATCCCCATTTTATTGTCAAGTGGGATGGAAATTTTACTCCTAATCCCACTCCCTTCTGAATCCCTAGTGCAAAAGCAGTACAGTTTTTCTTCCTTGCTGTTCATGACAAGCAGATCTCAAGAAGAGTCAGCCAAAGATTAATAAGCCACATAAATTCAACAAACTATTGACCATACCACACCATGCTCTGTATCAGCCCGTCTCTTTTCCCTGGTTGCTGTGCTCATGTCAGCCTCCATGGGACCTTCACAAGCCTACCCCAGCTCCCTTTGACAGCCAGCATTTGCTCACCAACCCTTGCTAGCTCACACTGTCTGCATATTCCCTCAGAGAATAGGAAAGATGCCAGAAAAGTGCTTCCCCAAGGATGTAAAACAGGCTGTTGCTCCACTGTGGCTCTCAAAATTTGTTTACAGTTTATTTTAGGAGCTAGTCAATGGCATTTTCCAGGAACATGAGACCCCCTCCAGTCTGGCTTTCCTCATGTCAGCTATGCTTCCTTATCCCTGCCCCTTTCCCAGATAATTAAATCCCTCATACCACTAACTGAGTGAAATATCTCAGTTTTGATGGGTGACAGCAGCTCCCCTTGCCCCATTTTGTGCACCTCCTTCAGTGCTACCACTTCTTCCTGCCATCTGCTGGAACCCTTACAACAAAAATTCTACCGCCAGGAGCAGACCTGGAAAGGGGAATGAGAGTGATGGAGATGGCTGAAAGGAGAGCACATCTTTTAGGGAGATGTGACAGTCCCCAGCCTCATGACACTGTTCTCAGAAGATACAGTTGTGTGGCAGTGCCTTGGCCCAGCTGGCACTGGCGCACAATCTTCTGAGAAGGCAGAGCTCACCAAAACACATCAGGTCTCTTGGCCAGGGCGCTCTGCAGGACTATTGTCTCTGTCTCCATCTACCATGCCTCTTCAGCATGTAGGTCACAAAGAGGAAGTAGAGCTGAACCACAGCTCTGCTCTGGAAAGCAGAAGTAAGCCCAGCTTTCCACCTCCAGTCAGCCAGATCTCTCCACAACTTGTTGCTACTCATCAGTGAGGAACTGAATTCTCTTTCCTAAATTTGTTGCCTCTCACTCTCCACCACCAGCCAGCATGTTGTGGTTTACCTCTGGCAGTGTGCACACACCACCCTGGCCCGAGAGGAGCACAACTCACTCTCCAGACTTGATGTAGTCTCTGCATGGCTACAGTCACTACTTTTTTTTTTATTAACCCCAACAAGTCAGTTAATTACAACACAGGCTGCACGAGGTACACGTCAGCTTAAGCTGCATACATTTAATTGCATGCATCTACCCATTTTCTTTCCAACTGCACCACTGTAGTGGTTGGGAGAATCCTTTAGCATGCTGGGTAACAGGGATATCAATACTACTGTTCTCTGTGAAGTCCTCTGAAGCACATCTAATGAACTTTGCAGGTATAAAATGCCAGCATGGCAAGCACAAAAAGGCCATGCTCATCTCTGGCATGTTTGCAGCTTAATTTCCTGCTCTTTTCTAGAGCTCTGAAGACAGACAAATCTGCCATTGAATAAACACAAGACTCTCAGGTCCTTTGTGGGAGGGTTTCCTGCTAAATGGAATGAGTGTGGTAGTCTGCTTCTGAGTGCAGTGTGTTTAATCTTGCACAAACTTGAATTGGCTATTTGGAGACCAAGCTGTGAAGTCTTAGCACTTACCTTATTCTGATACGTCCAGTATAAGTAAAATCCCTTTGGATCCACTCGAAGAATCACAGGAGAAGCACTTGCTGTTTCCTGACCAAAAAAAAACCAGAAGAAGGCTAGCACCTTACATGACTTGGAGAACCCATCATGGGACATAAGGTTCCCAGTTCAAATATAGACCCAGTCGGGTGAATCATCCTCTGTTATTTATGGAAATGAACCAGATGATTTTAGTATATCTCCAGAGTAACAGTGTGAGGCTATGGAAGCTGATCTCTGCTGAAGCCTGAATCTCACCTAACACTATGCATTTAGCTAGAACAACTCTCTTGGAGCTTTCTATGCAATGAATTAAGAGAATAAAGTACCCATAGATGCAATTAATTGTTTCACTTGAACTGCCTTCCCTCCAAGGCACCTACTGCCTTCTATGAGTTCCAGAAGTAGCCTAGCCCAAGTAAAGGTAGCATTCATCCATGACATCTACTATCTAGGTGCTCATGCTAGTTATCTGGGCTCTCTTTACAGAGAATGGGCCTAGTCAGGAAGAGTTCAAGGAGGGGTCCACCTAACAGAACAGATGAGTCTGCTTTAGGTGATGATTCCTAAACTCCATGGACTAGCTCTACACAGAATAAAAAGAAGCAGCTATTTAAATATCCACACTACAGACACAAAATTAGATGAAACTGTTCGGGGCTGATCCTGAACCCCATACAACAGGGAGGCCCTCCAGATCAGAGCCAAGACATATACTGCAGAGGAGACACAGGCTGCTGTGAGACTGTGTACTTTGCCTCTGAATAATTACACTGCTGCTGCATTTTCAGTTAAAGGCAACTTCACAGACATTTTCAGGACAACATCCATTCCCATCTCACATGCAAGCCTGTACTAAGAGATGAATTCAAGTGAGCTCTTTGGAGACAGAGACAAAGGATGCTTGGAGCCTCTGCTTGGGTCCCAGCCCATTTGTTCATTCAGTCTAGATGACTCCTCACTGCATTTGTCCTCTGGTGCCACAGAAGATAGGATCTTAAGGCCTATCAGCCATTTCTAGGAAGGCCTCAAATTCAATTCAGGAAGCTGAAACACGCAGCTACTGAGATGAAACCAGTAATGGAATTTGGAAGTTGTTTTTGTCGCTTGGCCTTGGGTTCTTCAGTTGTTATTGAACTCATACTTCACTCCAGAGTGTATCTTTATTTCCAGGGACCTCCATTTCCAGATTCAGTATTCTTCATTACAGTAAACTGCCCATGCCACAGTGCATCGTATGCTCTCCTTTTACTCCCTACTCTTTCTCATGCCCATGTTCCCAAGAGCTCTTGGTTAGCTCCCTGAACACATGGCCACAAACCACGAAGAGCAGAACAGGCACTGTAGTACTACTACTGAGTATTGTGCCATGTTTCTAGATTAACCTTATCTCCTACCAAACAGCTTTCTCAAAAGCGAGTTGAGGCTGGCCTCCTGAACAGGGACATGGACAGCTATGGGGGGCAGGTAGACTCTCCTACAGGGTGGCTCCTGGCAACAAAGGAAATGGTGAATTCTACAGAAGATGGCCTGGCAGCCAAACTGGCTGCTGCTCACATTGTGGAGCTCAACTCTAGGGCAGAAAGCAAGCATCGTCTGGTAGAATCCTGTAATCCATGATCTTTAAGAGATAGTAACATTTTTGCTTCTACTATGAGAGCTAAGAGTCAGCATAGGGCCAAATCCACATGCATCTGCTCCGCTTAAGAGGTCAGCTACTACATTGTGCCCTATCTGAAGTTTTGAAAGGGTTCCCAAGCTGGTTCTGGAAATAAACTCTCATCCATGTATTAAGACTTAACCTGCTTGGCAACCCCAGCCTGCTGGATGCTAAGCAAAGCACACCAGAGTTGCTGCTTATCCCAAGATGTCACAACTCAGTGGGACAGGTCAGAATGGTCCTGCCTGTCAGAGATCCTACTGCAGTCTCCTCCAAAGAATACATTACAAATGCTGGACAAGGTGAAGGCACTATAGAAAAAGTGTGGGTTTGCTTTTCTCAAGAAACTGTTGGATACAGTGAAGATTCCAGTCCAGTCCCAAAACTGTACAGAGCAATGTAAGGAGCCAATCTGATCCACCTTCATTCCTTTGCCTCAGATATTGTGGAAGGAATTCAAAACTGTTACCAACAGCATGGCCAGGTCAATTCAAAGAGTGAGACAAAAAACCACAGGCCCATCACCCCTAAAGAGCAGCAATCGTGCAGCCTGGAGCTCTTGCCATCATTCTTTGCAGCCTGCTTTAACTGTGGAGTAGCAAAGCATGATGAGATGCAGAAATGTGACCAGAACAGCCCACTTGTGGAGAAGGCTTTCATTATTGTTGGAGTCAAGTCTGTAAACTACTTAGTAATTAGAGGCAACCTTTTAGGAATGTTTACAGATCTGTAAACCTTAGGGAAAAAAACCACACAAGACTTGGAGCTCCTCAACTCCTATGGTTGCAGCAGGAAATAAACACTTAGTAGGTCTTGGAAGCCCACCCTGACTCACCTTGGGTTTCAAGGGAGCCTAACTATCCCAGAAATTCCCAGTGAAGAACTTAACAGCTTCAAGTTTTTGGGACAGTGGTGCCCAAGGACTGAGCATAGAAAGTCAGCAGCAATTTTAGACAAGTTTGCCTACTGTCATTCTCAGAAACCAAATCCCTTTTCAAATTCAAAGAAGCCACAAGTGCATTCTGCAGGCAGTGGCCCCATTGGAAAGAAAGGGAAGGCTGCACATTCCACTGTACCCTGGTGCTATCCTGTTTATGTACAGGTAGTTGAATAACTGCCCAGTGATATTCCAACCTGTATTCCTCAGCATCCATCCTTTCTGTCAGCTGTGCAGTACATTGCTTTCTCATTTCTCAGTGCCGCTGGACCACCCCTGCTTCCACTGCACACAAGTGATCTACCTCCCCCCCACACACTGCCTTGGGACTTAAAACTCTATTCCAGCTTTACACCCACAAAAGCAAGCACTAATCCCTCCTGCATTGCTGCTGGAGGCTCCTTCTAATGTGTCTCATTTGCAATACCACATCAAATGTTTCCCTCAGATCTTGGTGAATAATCATAACCTGGCCTGCCCCCTGTTTTATCAACATTCAATAGCAGACAATTCATACTCCAGACAAAATGGATGGGCAGCTGCTGTCTTCTTGCTCAGGTATGTGGATATTGGGTAAATACTCTTTTGCCTTCTTAGAAAGTGAAGAGAGGGACTATTACATTCAAATTAACTTCTCTTCTGCTGTGTCACACCTTCCCCCCCTCACAATGAAAGGCAAACAAAGATTGCAAACCAGGTGTTTTGAAGATACAAGAGGACAATGAGTTGGAGAGGGAAGCAGCTTTTTGCAGCACCCTCTGGGACTCCAGCACTGTTAAAGCACAGGTCCCTTGCTGCTCGGCCACTGCACATTTGGTAGCTCACAGACCCATAAGCCAAGCAAGCGTGGGAGGACATGGCTCACCCTCCGATCCACTCCAGCAACAGAGCCATAAGAGGAAGCAACTTGGGAGCCTGATTTCCTCTCTATCTGCAAAGCACGGAGAGTCCGCTCAGCTTTGGAGTAAATCCTACCCCTCATGCTCCTCTGGACAAGTCCAAATGCAGTGTATGCCTCTTGCTCCAAGGAGACACCCAGCAGTGACCACCTTCCTGAGGGCTGGTTCACACACACAGAGAGGACCCTGGGGTCCTACACCAGAGAAGCTGTGCACGCAGTCCCAGTGGCAGTCCATTTACTTCCACCCTCCACAATAACAAGAGATGCAGAAGCCACACCACCAGCGCCTAACACATAGGCCCTTTGTTTTTAGCCCTCAGCTCTCCTGTTCTTCTCAGTTCACTCTCCCTATCCAGACATCACTGCTCTCAGGTACAACACACAGCGTCCCATCACCCCCACTGAATACACGCTCCCAGGCTCCCCACAAACTGTGACTAAAACACAGTATCTGCCCTGCCACCATGCATACAATCTAGCAAAGCAAAAAACCCAGTACTCACATCATCCCATCTGATGAAGCGCTCACCCTTCGATAGATACTCCTTCACCTCTGGGGGCTGTAGGACAGGGTTAAGCATTGACATTCTGTCCCGAAGATGCGCTCCTCAGCCACCAGAAGCAATAGCAGCTGCACAGTTTGCTCCTCCTTGGCCCCCTCTCCTCTATCTCTGCCTCTCACATGGCAGGGCTCTCTGCCATTGCCACTGTTGGCATCAGAAAGCAAACAGCCTATTATATCCCAGCCAAATTTAGGAGGGGCAGGGGCAGGCAGGCGAGGACCGGTGAATCTGCATTGTAAATCAACAGCTCTCCAAGCAAGCACACGGAGCTCAGCCCAAGGTCACCTAGAGGAAAGCTTGCGATGGGTTGAGATGCCCGCCTGAACAGTCATGCACGCACACTGTCTCTCCAGGAGGGACCTACTCCTCGGAGTTGTACTTGTGAAGCGCTCGGTTTGTAGCACTTCCGCAACTGAACTTCCTTAAATGTTCTCTTTGACGAAGTGCAGGCATTGCCAGCCGACACTCAAACTATTTCAGCAGATGTGGTTACAGAACAGCTTGGGCTTTGGCTACAAGCAGACTGCCCCCTTCATGCAACGGGCCAAATATCACGTAAAGTAAACTTACTACTTTGCTCTGTACAGACTCCATTTCTGGGGCCACTTGCTGCACTGTCCAGCCTTTAACTTTTTTCCTTTCTCTTAGGGGTTCTTCTAAATGTCAACCTGAAAAGTGAGACAGACCAGCAGAGCAGATGGAAATTCCACAAACAGATGAAATAAAACATTCACAAGAGTCCCTAGGAACTGCAGTATTCTCCAGATTCATTTGGGTCTACTGCAGATACTGTGGGAACACAAAATGGGAGATACGTGTAAGGTGGGGATTATAATGAAGAAGCTGCAGGGAAGTGACAGAAAGCAGAACAGAAGGTTAATGGCAAACAGGGCAAAACGAGTCCATGCTCCTGACCTTGGAATGAAGGATTTGCACATGGACAGCAGAGAAGAAAAGGAGCTCTGGTGGCAGATGTGCACTGGCTAACCAGGAGGAGAGTGGCTTGTGAAAAGGACTGACACAGGCAAGGTTAATTTTAGGCAAAAAGGCAGAGCCCCACAACTAATTAGAAGTGGAGACAGCTGTGCTACACTTGCTACAACAGGATTCCCAGCCACACAGTGGGATTTCATCTTTGTTGTCTCCTATGAAAATCAAGGTGTAGCACTTGCCATTGCTCAACAGGGACAAGACACTGTCAAAAGTAGTGCAGATTCTCCAAGAGGGGTAGACAAAGAAACTCCCACTGTGCAAAGGGAGCCAGCTACATGGTTTTGTTGCTTATTTCCCACTCCTGACTTACCCAGTTTGATAAGGCCAGCACTTTAAAGCAGATTGGACAGCCAAGGTAAGGCTGACTGAAGGAATCCTAAGGGCATTCTCAAACATTAGTGGTGTAAGACAGGAGAGATTAACTGGACCTGTAGCAAGTGCTCTAGCTGTAAAGAAAACAAAGATGGCAGCAATTATCAGAGAGATGCCTGCTGCAGAAACAGAGAACCCTGAACAAACCTAGCATCCTTTGAACATTTCTTTCATGGGTTTATCTGCCTGACAAACTGGGAATAAGAGAGATTCTAGATTTCCAGCTACCATCAAGTTTTCTGCATTTACTAACCTGTTTTGCAAGGCACCGTACTTTCCAAGAATTGGCTGTACAATTGCTAAGGCTGTTAGCTCTATTTTATTAGGGCAGCAAACTGAGGTGGCTTACCCCATAGCTGTGGTTGCTCGTATCAGTGCTGAGACTAGGGACACAGGAATCCATCACCTCCGGTCTCATAACCAAGCCACATTCATGGTATTATTAAGCTTCCTTTGCACATGTGTCAAAGTGACACGTGCTTCTCAGGCAGCCAGCTCACAGAGCACTGGGGTACTCCAGGCCCAGCCAAGAGAGCATCACCAGGACCCCCCCAGCCAGAGAACACTGTTCCTCCCAAGCAGCAAAGCAGCAGATGACAGTGCCTGCCCAGATCTCAAAGGCTGAGCTGGAAGTGCTCAGGGACATCACCAGCAGCCTGGGACTTGGCATAAATGCCAGTGAAATGCCAGGCACTGCTGGGCAGGTTTTGTTCTCTGCGCTCTTCTTGTAAGCAGCTTAGGAACACACCCTGAGGCCTAGGTACATAGAGAAAGCCCACGGGAGCACAGGAGGCTGCAGTGAAGAGTGAAAGTTTTCTCTACCTTCACCTGATCCCTTCTGCAAGGCCAGAGCAGTTTCAGGGCTGCTTAACTTAGGGAGCAGCTGTGAAAAGGATAAAGAGCATCGATCTTGCTCAGAAATGCTGCAGCCCTCCCCTCCTCTGCAACACAGAAAGCACTAAAAGAAGGCTTTGGAGGTCACAGCTGTGAAGTGAAAGGTGGGTGAGCTTTACCACCTTTGCCAAGAACAGAGGGACTGCAGGTAAGATCAGACAGTCACAGCTACTGGTTCCAGTGCCCTATCTGGTATTTACCACCATTATCGTCAGTTCATGAACGATGTCTGCTTCCTGCTAGAACCAGGGCCTCACGGAAGGCTTCTGTCCTGCGTTCTCTCAGACCTGGATATTCAACAGCTTTCTCTGTCTCATCAACAAACCTAAAGTAAGCAAGAATCCTGCCACAGCTTTACTTGCTTGTCACTGAAGGCCAGCTTTCCCTAAGGGATAGAACTATAAATTTAAAAAAACAACCCACAACATGAAGAGCAGCAACCAAGCCAGCGGCTGTCCTGTGAGGCTGCACGGCGCTGCACAACATCTACTGCCAAGATCCCCGCTTGCATAAAGATGGTCACAAAAGCTGAAGCTCACTTCCTTTTGCATAACCAAGCCTCCTTATCTTTCATTTCACACTCCTTGCTCTATGTGGGAGCTTCTGTCCCTTGCATAAAGAGATGGCTGATGGCACAGCGATAGAATAAAGCAACAGTCCTGCCCTCTGCTGAAAGCTCTGATATCAGAGCAGGCAGAAGCAGCAGCACTTTGAGCAGTATTTATTCTAATCACCCTTTATTTTCTTTCTCCTGCAAGGCCCGTCACCCAGTGTATACTCATCCTATATCCCCTCAGTTCAGGGCCCCGTGCCTCCTTTGCTTTCATCCCTTACCTTCCCCACTGTGCAGCCCACCACCCACTACAGGAGTTTTGATATACAAAAATTATTTTTTTTTCCTGGAGACTCTTCCTTATCTCCCTGTCCTACTTATTCTGCAGCCTCTACCTCCCACAAAGTGGATTCAGAAGCAAGGTAGTCAGCATTACCCTTCAGAGATTTTACAAGACAGGGTCTGTAGACAGTGATTTAAGCCATCCCATCCTATTAAACCACCTTGACAGGATTGCTCCCAAGTTCTAGCAAATTATTTTGTAACCTCAACCCCAACCTATTCCTAGCACACAGAAAATCGGTAAGAAATCTCTTCCAGCATTGTTCCATCATAATTACACTTTGCAGTGTGTAATACTGTCCTCTAGTGAACAGCTATGATATTGCATGCACAGACTTAGCATTGCATTCAAACACCCGTAACAAATTCACAGCTAAGCAAAACTAAGTTCATCCTACTGCTCCTCTTTCTATGCTGCCCTCTGAGCCCTGGGAATCATGAAAGGATTAACGACACCATCAGGAGCACAAAGGCCAATATTTTCTCACCACCCCTGGAGAGGAGAACTGCTGAGTGTGTGTGCCGGGGCATATTTTGTGTCCTACTTTGAGCCCAAACCACAAAGCCAAGAATTCATGACAGCTCTCAGTGGACAGCATGACTCTTCTACTTGATCTGCAAAAGTCAGAGGGGAGTGGACTACAGCACAGAGAGAAAAGTGGCCACAGATGCCACAATACCATAAAAGCAGTGAGGTCTTGTGTAAAAAAAAAAAAACAAACAAAAAACACCACAAAACAAAACAAAAAACCAAACAAAAAAAACCCCACCACACCAAAAAAACATCTGATCAACCACCAAGACATGGTTAGGTCCATAATTAACTGTTCACTGGGCAGGAATATGCGGCAGGAATATGTTACGCTTACAGCACTCTGATAGCTTTCTGAGTATTTCCAAACTGCACAGCTGAGTGACACAAGCAGGCTCACACACTATTTAAACATCCTATACATTACTGCAGTACAAAAGTAATTGCTGCACAGGCATGACTGAACCACACAATTCCTAACTACTAGCAAAAGAATGAAACTTTCCAAGATGGATCATTAACAGAAGAGGAAGGAGGGTGAAGAACAGCAGCACACCGGACAGAACGTGCCCATCTCATGTTACCTTGCAGTAATGGAGCAGCAAGAACAGGAAAGCAACTTCTACCAAATCTGGAGGTAAATGCATCCAACTGCCCCACTGCATTTCCCTACAGTATAAAACAGTGAACTGGAAATCAGGATACTGGGGCAGGAAGCCCCATTTTGCTCTTGACCTCGTCAACTTTTTCTACCTATTCTACCAGCCCAACTTATTTCCACTGTAAGCTGTCTCTTTCTGTGGATGCATTTGCTGCCTGCCACAGCAGATTCCCCAACCTGGCTAAGACCTTAGTATTACTGTAATACTTCTGCCACACTCACATCCTCATTGCTTCTGCTTTTCACAGTCACTGAAATTCAGGCTTACATATATGTAAGCCCCAATGCACTGACTTTGAAAGGCAAAGCACCCCAATGAATCCCATTCAAGAGACAGAGGCTCCCACTGCAGACTATACCCTGGTGCAGCACTATTCAGAATCAGGGATGAAAGAACAATAAAAATAAAAAAGGCTACAAACCTTCTTTACACTGCCCCTACCAGCTGATTCCAAGTTAAAGCAGCCTCAGACTGCTACACAAGAACCACTCTGCCTACTCAGCTAATGGAGCCGAATAGTTTTCGGCCATGGTCTTCCCTGGCCCTTCCCCAAACTTCAGTCCTCCACATGCTAGACCAAAAATCTGCTTTTGTAATATCCAGCCTCAACCTTCCAGTATTCCCCTCCTCACTACAAAGGCCTTTACACACTATATTCCAAACTCTTCACCTCCTTGAGGTGAAATGCACTTGTGAAGCAATGACATATTCAAGTTTAGTCCTGCAGGAAAGAATGCATTTTCCATCAGAGGCTGCAAAGGAAAAATCAGGAAGGTTTGCAGGTAGGTCTATGATCTCCACTGTAGATGAAGCTAAAGGTGTCTGAAGCTAAGGGGGCAAAATCTCATCCAGGCATTGTCCTTTGATAATCACCTGTGGGTATCCTAAAGAGAGAATGAAATCCGTTTTTCTTCACTTTTGCAGAGAGGTTTGCTCTTTTGACACATCACTGCTGCCCACAATACTGCTGTGTACACAGGCAGGTTACTGACTCAGCC